GAGTTTGATTAAAGAAAAAACAAATTATAAATCAAATAGGTCATCGAGAAAATTATTGCTAATGAGAATGAGGGCGGCATGCGAACCCAGGCTTCATTAATTTTAATTGAAAGCGCCGCACATGGACATTTGGAAACACCATAGGGTTGAAAATTCGTTGCCACCTTCTAATAAATTGGGCCCCGGCTACCTCACTCGCTACACTACTGAAGCATAAAACTTCCGGTTCACGCCAGTCTTATTGTGAGATCGTGATACTTACCCGGACGGACCAGCCTATTAGTTCCTGTGCCTATTAGTAGTACCTTCAATAAATATGATAAACTCTTTTTCTCAAAGTTTTCCTCTTCTCATCTCTATTGTACGCAAGACACCGTCTTCCTGCTTTCGTGTTTTAACTACGGCATCGCAACAATCACTTCTTTTATTATCAAATACCGCTGTACACTGTTCATCACCTTTTAATTTTTCTTCTACTACTTGTACTCTATTTAAAAATTGTATAAACATACAAAGAAAGAATCAGAATTGTGGAGATTCCTAGACGAAATAGAGTTACCAACATAGCAGAGCAAGACAGTAGGCTGAAGTGGTAGCGGCTAAGGAACATAGCTTGGAGAACCGATGGCCGTTGGGGCAAAAATGCTCTTGAGTGGAGACCACGTGTCGGTAGGCGCAGCGTAGGAAGGCCTCCCACAACGTGGACGGACGACCTACTTAAGATCGCAGGGACGCGTTGGATGCAGGCCGCTAACGACCGGTCGAAGTGAAAGTTAATGGGGGAGAACCTATGTTCAGCAGTGGACGTCCTACGGCCGATATGAAGATGATGATGGTGACAAAGAAAAAAGAAGGAAAGAGGTGTATTTGAGACATCACAGACTGACGTACACCACACTCATTTATAACAATAATAAATAAAAAACATGGACATATAAATATATAACTATTACATGTATGATTTTATCTTTGGATTGTTGTACCGTATTGGCCATAGTTGATGCCAAAAAGGCTATCATCAGTCAGCGGAAGGTTGCAGTAAAAGCTACAACGGTGAAATTGACGAGTAAAGAATTGGGAATACAGTGCCGAGACTATTTAAAAGGGACGAAAGCTCAATACATCAATACAAAAGTACAGTCGTCTAATCAGTAAGTGAATGTATGCTGTTAAAATTAAAAGTAATCGGATAACCTTATGTGCGTTACGTACGAAGTGATTTTTAAATTATCAGCAAAAGTAGTATTCGAGTTCTTAAATGAATAATGAAGACAATAAACGGAGAAATAAAGATTGCCGGGCTAACGAGTGGGGGTAACAATGGGTCGTTATGTGTTTATCGCCGATGGACGTGCTATCGCCAGAATGGAGGTTGTTCGATTTTCAACCTTATTGCTAGCGTCATACGGAGATTCTCCGGTTCAGCTGTCTAAAAATATTCTAATTACATTTTGCATGGCGTTACTTTTACAAATTTAAGTGGATTTTTATCGCAATACTTTTGCAACTTTTTATTTTGAAATATAACATTTTTCAACAAATACCACTATGGATATGAATTGCGTCGCAATATCTGAATTCGTTGTTTTTTAACCATAATACCATGATAATTTTATCAATAAGAAAACGGGAATACGAATGCTTTATTGTTTTAAATAGATTAAATTAAAAACGAACTTATTAAGATATAGCTCTCATCACATTGCAATTTTGAAGCAGTAGTTGTGCTAAATATGTTGCTGAAACTATCTTTTTAATATCTACTTTATTGCTAAATTTCAAATTCTGATCTTATCATACTGCAACACTACATGTGATTAGCGAATTAATTGTAAAACAAAGATATAATCGAAAAAATGACACAGGACAACATTTTGTCTTTATTGTCAATATAATGAAAGGGAAAGTTATTTCACCTAAGCAATGAAATCATTAAATTGTTGTGGTCAATTCATTCTATAGGATAACTGATGTTAACGGCTGAACCAATGACAGGCATAGACACTCCACGGGTCTGATGGTACTGACTGAGGTTATCATATAACACGTTTGAATCCCTGAAATCTAAAAACGTGATGGTGTAATAATGGAAAATAACTTCACTCTGATCTGAGCAAACCGTAACAAACTAGAATAGATATATTTATATAACTGCAAAATAAATATTACTATTTTGTTTATACTATATATACTATTTATTTAGTTTATACTATATCTCTTGTAAGTATACTCGAAAATTGGACGTTTTGTTTGTCATGAAATGCCTAATACAAGATTATTTTCTCTTCGTTTTGATTGATTGAATGTTTGTTCGGGGTTGGAGTAATTTCTCTTTTTAAGTAAGTGTCAATCGATCTCAATGTTTATTATTTATTTTCTTCGTTGTAATATCCAATTCCTTTTTGTCCAATTCACAAACATAATACATTTTTATTAGGAGCTATTTGAGTTATGTATTTGGACGTTATACTTCTTGAATCCAAATGTAATGGATGAAGGATATCTATTTCATGTGATATATGTCCATTATTATCACGAGTCTAATTATGATTTAATATCAATTGGTGAACTCGTCAGTTTGTCATTTCACCAATAAAATGGCTCCGCAAACAAACGCTAAAACCCCTGGCCCTGCGCCAAATCTGCCCTGCCAAAACAGGGCCAGTTTTGGATATCATGCGTTCGTTACTCTCCAGTTCAAGTTCAAAATTGACGCGACCTGAAGTCCTGTGATTGGAGTCCTTTGTTTTCGGACCTTGGCACTAGCTAATATCGTTAGCGTCTAAAGTACTATTGTTGGCAACATGTTCGTTAACAGAACGATTGTACAGTGCGTTAACTAAACTTATCATACGTGCTGTTTCATTCGACGCATGTAAACTGTTCATCATATTTATTTTCAAAACTTAGTTCATTATTATTTATTATTTTTATTATAATTATTTTTTTTTAAAAACATTGCCCTCACTTTAGAATAACATTATCCGGTGTTGTAAGGACGTTTTACAAACATGAATTGAACGAGGACAAACACCCAGATGCGAAACAACTATCTATGGGCCGCACAAATAGTTGTCCCGTGTGGGAATCGAACCCACGGCCCCCGACGCCGAAGCCAAGACCTTGGCAACTGCGCCACGGAGTCATCCAAGTCATCACTAGTTGAAGATCTTTGATGAAGTCTGTCCCGGGTCGTTAGTACCTTAAATTTACTTAGTTTAAAAATAGAAATGAAAAATCCGATTTAGCCGTTTTTCGTAATTTACTACCAAATAGTCGGTAAATATAAATCTTGAATGTTGACATTTCAAAAACAGCTATGATAGTACACGCGACGCCAACTTATTAAAGACAAGCGTTAATTCTTGTTTACTCTCTTAAATATTTAATGTCATCTAAATCAACTGTTATCTAAGAAAATTTTAAATTAAAATTTCATTTTCAATCACAAGTTTTGCCTCGAGTGCAGCGACTGGCTCTAATATTAACATTAATCATATTAAGTTTTTATGTTCATTCTCTCGTCTATTAGAAGGGCAAATTGACCACGGTAAATACTGATCGAAGACAGTGGTTAGCACTATTGTCGAGAAGTTTGGCTGATAAAGTTGGGGGAGGTGGACCCCACTAGACCGGTAGGTACCCCGCGTTAGGGTATAAGTCGATCACCATGATATGATAACTCTCGATTCTTATACGTAACTGAGACACAGTCAATGTCACTTTGTGCTGCCCATTAAATACAATGTAGTGTGGCCCTCGGCGCGTCGGTTTATTACTCCGATCATCACGAACAGTTTGAATTATTCTCGCACCATGTATTATAGAAACAAAAGTGACCAGGTCAATTGAGCACAGTACTATGTCTATATACAGCATTGCGTAATTGGACAACTTTGCTTCAACGAGGGTCAACGATCCGAGTGTGGTTTGGTCAATTATTTACTCACACACGTCTTTCCGGAAGTCATTGCCGAATGCTATCTACGAATAGTATATACTTAGGATGTATATATACAACTGCCATTATTTTTTACACCGATCGGAAATTTAACATCGTCCTATGCAAGCGGCGACAGAGCAAAAAACTACTCACCAGTGATTTTCGACATTCGGTGGAATTCATTTATTCAAGAGTATAAATGAATTCCACTGAACTCCATGAAAGCAGAGCCTCCTACGGCAGCGAAAATTGGGGCTACGAAAATTCGGTTACCATGACAAATTGAAAATTTCGAGACAATTTTCCTGTGAGGAGAGTATACAATTACGAATTTCTCATTATTAATCGGATATAGAGCGGGATCTGCCTGGCAAAGTTTAACAATCGTCACATCAACGTTACGGAATCCATTGATTGTTAACTTTGTTTTGAAGCAAAGAGCTTTAGTACAGACTTCACGCAACTTTCGACACTACAATCATCGGATGGAAAGATGAACGCGGCGGGGTCTTTAAATACATCTTTATTTATACTTTTTTACAAATAAATCGTTATAATTTCGACCAAAAAATTGGTCATTAACTATATAGTTGTGATCAGACAAAGCGTCACCTACGCAAAACAGTGACCGCACGGCCTTAGCTATTTATAACTTAATTGATAAGAGCTCATTATTCTGTTGAACAACGCAGACGCTGTTACGCACGTTCGCCAGAAAACTAAAATTGTTATTATTTGTTCATTAACTAAATTTATCTACTAAAATTATCGCTAATATTAGGTTTATATTAATGTATGGACCGTCTTAATTAGGCTGCGATTGCTTTACACATGTCTAAATCGAACAGAACTTGGACGTTGACCTACTACGACCCAAATGATGATCTCGATAAAAATTATCATATGTCAACTGCACCGTTATCCGTTTTGTCCTCTGAATAATAGCCATTATATAGCCATATTATTATATTAACCATAGCCATTATATATTATACTAGCTATGGATGATAGCCATCATTAATGCTGCAAACTATATCGGTGTGATCGCTTCCTGCAGGCAATCGTATTGGGCGCAGCGGACGAACCTGGAGAAGAGGCTGATGGTGGCGGCGGGCGTGGCCGGGATGCTCGCCGTCGCCTTCCTCGCCGCCTTCCTTGCCACCGCCTACCTGAAGACGACCAACATCAACGGTACCCAGCCTGAGCATACGTAGCGAGGGTCGAACGACCCATGATCACGACACGGGATGCGAAAGCTTCCCCGTGCCTGTCTTTCTACCAGCGCCTTAAAGAAGGTGGCAGATGAGCTGGCGGCTCACCTCATGTTAAGTGATAACCGCCCATGGACATTGGCAACACCGGCAGAGTTGGAGATGAGTTGCCGCCTTTTGATAAAGTGGACCCCGGCTACCTCGCTCACCAGATGAAACGCCGCTGTGTAACACTTCACGCAATTGTTACAATTGATGGTTTTATCCCGTCATTGTCAACTTTTTAATTTGGGAAAGGGCAACTCACGCGAGAGATAAGCAAATGTAGTTAACATAGAAAGATATTTGACCCGCCAGAAGAAAAATCGCTCTCAAAGTGCACTAAACTATCTAGAATGGTGGTATTTAAATGATGTCAATTTGTATATTGCTATTCTTTGTACATAGAAAGAGGAGCGAGAAATTTTTCGCCCTGAGAGTATTTGAAATTTGTCCATGGAATTTGCTGCATGGGTAATCTGTTGCTTTGTAGTTAGTTTAATGTGCATTACCGAAGTAAGTATAAGTACGTATTATTATTGAACTTTCGGTTTGGATTTCGTTCCGTTTTGTATTTTTTTGATCGCTTACTTTCACTTAGTGTTTGTCAGGGCTATACAATACTTAGTGTGCTTTGAGTGTGTTATAGAGATGCTTGGCTGTAGCATTCATCGTATTCATGTAGCCGCTGCAATTGAAGTAACATGTGCTTATACATGTAACATAGTGTGATAGATTATATTCCAAGCCATCCCTACATCCTATACGACATATATATTTAGATCTCTACATTCCCCGCTATTAATGTGGGATTTTAACTGAATCATTACTTACCCACTTTAATAGCATCGCAAATATTTACTATCTACAACTTCACACACTCATGTTTGCGAGGAAATTATCTTTATTTAATTATATATATGGCATCAACATTATTAATTGACTATTGTGGACTGCACGTAGCTTTCATCAATAAAAGTATAAATGTAAAATTCGATAAAATATTGCTCGAGTAAATTAAATGTATTGGACGTTTTACGATATTTGTAACATGGCCCCGCTCCCACCAAATAAAGCGGTAGTGCCAATCTCATTAAAAAGCGATCCACCCTCGACGAGTTCGCCCGATGGCGCTTATTTTTTATCTGTGTCCACCTCGTTCCGTATACAGCTAAACGAGGTTATTATATAATACTCGTAACTGAAAGATTTAAGTTATGGAACGTTTCATATTAATTCGTTTAACATTTTAAAGAATGATAAAGTAAAGTATGAACATTGTACCTTATATTCGCAATCTAAATCGGCTAAACATTCAAATCAACCCGTATGTATGGAGGATATATGTATATGTTTGAAATAGTAGCGGCTTTTTTTGTACGCGGGTCGCCGCGCCGAAATCTTTACGACCGGGGAATAGTTGATGAGAGAAAATTTCGCCATGACTCACTAATGTCGGTGGCTGGGCGACCCTAGGTTCGTTTGCAACGGAATGAGTTTATGCTCAGGGTTAAATCGTCTCGCATTAATATCAGTAGCGTCCGTGTGAGACAGTGATTTTGGTATTGTAATTCAAACCCACGACCCGATTGTGTGTCGGCGTCGATATTCAGCCACTACGCTGTAATGATGTTATAAAAAAAGTTATAATTTCTCATTAGATTGCTTACGTTTCGTTCATGTCCAGTTGTAAGGGCACCGAGGGCATTTCTATCCCGAGTTAGTGCAGATCACGTGGACGTTCTGTAGAAAGTGTACTTCATTGAGCATCATAGGTCACAGTGAAATCACATCGGCCGAAATCCTATTTCACTTTCAAAGCTTTCGCGAATTAGAAGCTTATGTAAAGTTTTGACTAAATCACTCGCACGTCCTGTATCGGTGAGCTTCTGTGGGAATCATAAAAGTATCTTCTTCTCATTAAGATCGTGTAACCGATTGAGTTATTAAGTTATAGTGATCGTGATCGTGATTAAGTTATATTGGACGCTCAGCCTCCCGGGGGTCGCTTTTAATCAATATTCTCGAGCGACCTGACATCAAATTCCGGTGCCGGCACCAATTAAATTGTAAATTGCAATTTTAAGTGCATTACCACATGCTCAGTGCTGGGCGACCCGAATGGCGTAGTGGGTAGTGTACCTGCCTCCTGTGCCAGAGGGTGTGGGTTTGATTCCCACTACTGGAAAAATATTGTGTGATGAACATGGTGTTTTTCTAGTGTCTGGGTGTTTATATATGTATAATATGTATTTATTTACAAAAAACAAGTATGTTTAAGTATGTTTATCAGTTATTTAATACCCATAATACAAGCGTTGCTTAGTTTGGGACTGGAAAATGTTGTATAAAAATGTATCTTAAAAATATTTATATTTATTTTTTTTTATATTAAATCCAGAGTGTAATCGCGTGGTGGAATATCCTGTGTACAGAAGATGCCTTTGATCAGTTTTGGGACGTATTATATACTGTTATTTTATTTTACTTTAACCGATTATATTATTATACCGGTAATTGAGAGAACCGAAAAATAAATATCCGTAATCTCTACCTACCCATAACATACAACTAGATTTGTATGAATGTATGTATTTAAGTTATGCATTGTGTGATCAATGCTGCATTCACTCATGCCTCGGAAGAAGCAAATTCCACGGTAATATTGTTGAAATGGAATTAAACAAAAGGTTAATCAATAGGTAGTGTATTAAATGACATATTCTATAATATGGAAAATCTTATTTCATAAACAGAGAAAAAATAACACACAAGAACGAACGGCATTTGCTAATTAATTCAAACTTCTCAGTTTAATTACATCAAAACTGTTTTGCCGTCAATATTACTGAAATTTCCTCTTTGATGTTAAAATAAACATAACGCAATATAACTGAAATTAACAGCGCACAAAGTCAAAGGCCAAGTCTACGGCACTTATGTTAAAAGCAACGTTAAGTTTGCTATTTAAGTTATTTGAAAATTTATTACTCCGTAGAGGGATAGCTTTTTTCGTTTCGAATCATACCTCCAGTCGAGTGGTGTAGCCAGTTTCTCGTAACGTATTTTACAGACACGGGATTCGTGTGTACCTAACGTAACGGTCGCGGTGGAAAATCATAGAGTGACAGACTCCAAGTCTCGAAACGCGTTAACAACTTCTATACGAAACTGACGCGTTCCTGGATACGTTGACCTCTATCAAGGCTACGCGAAGGCATTGGAGTATTTTCCTTATCGATAGCCAAAAGAACACTTTAAGAGCGATACAAATCACGTTAGTGCTTTTCCTTCGCGTGTCCTTTTCGAAAGGACGCAATAATGAATTATCTTACACAAAATAACTCTCCGACAAAGTATTGTTTGCAATATGACAGTAACTTGAAAGCGCGCATTCTATATACGGCACGCTCTTGCGTTTCTATCATCCGGAAATCCATGTTTTCAGCGTTCCGTCTGTCGGTCTGTCTGTCACCGGGCTGTATCTAATGAATAGTTAGACAGTTGAAAGTTTCACATTGCACATGATGTATTTCTGTTGCCGCTATAACAAAAAATACTTAAAAAGATAATAGTACGGAACCCTACGTGCGTGAGTCCGAATCGTACTTGGCCGGTTTTTTATTAAACTTGCGCTGAATGGATAAGCTTATTCATTAGAATAACACATAGACTTTAATTTACAAAGATATTGTGTGATCTATAATATACGTAAGAAGGCAAAAAATATCTGCCATCTGCGAGCTGTCCTGGTGTATAAAGTAAAACTCATTTTTAACTCCCTTTGACCGCGCGGGTGAAGCGAATTTATACTGATATAAAATAGGGCGAGATCTGTAGCCCCTACTCTCAATTCGCGCAAGTAAAATATTTGATAGTTCTCGCGCTGACATACAAACTACGTTCGCGCCCGAGTCAATTGCCACGGCAACGACTACGCTGAGAAAGCTGCCCCCTTCACTGATATTGGCCAAGGAGTTTGGAAACACTTAGCTCCCAAATCGAGAGTGAAATCGGCTTTCGGTTCGTCTGCGTCCGCTTTGCTTTTATTTTTTTTCCGTTACCGAACATCGGACGAAATAGCAAGCCATCACAATAGCAATGTTTCGTCAGTGGCGCAATATTACGACCAGTGACTAAATATTGCAATATCGAAATTGCTAACATTTATTGATATTTTTCAACTAACTGGTAAAATTAATCAACTAACAATATTGGATGGTAGAGAAGCAATCACATCCGATTCAATATTGGATATTTTGTTGATAGTTTATATGAGTTCGGTAGAAGCTAAAGTACTCTTGGATTGATTACTCGTACAATCGCACGGAAAACCAATATCGTCCACTCAACTGTAGCAATATAATGGACCTATCAATTTGAACATGAAATGTCGACAACAAAATGTTTAAATTGCGTTGAACGCACTCAAACTATTCAATACTTATATATCGATGTATTAAATAACAGATTTCTATTCCTACACATCAACAAAATATAAGTAGTTAGAGGCGACATCATAATTTTTGCAATAGTTGTCGACTCATATAAAAGGTATTCTTAACGGTACCTTATGGATTTAGAAAAAAATAATCACGAATTTTCAATTCGAGTTAAATCCGGCCATGAAGAAGAAGATATCAAGTAAGCAAATAGATCAGAAGCCGCGGCCATATCGACTGAAACAAATCTTATTATGGTCCGCGAAAAAATTAAATAAAAAAAAAGAAAAGAAAATGTTTTCGTTACGTATTGTAAAAGAATACAACACTCATATCTCAAATATATTTTTTTCTTTTTACTCATATCAATATATAATTAGATTTTATACCTTAATAATTCAGTATACTTATATAATTAAGAAAAAAAAGATAACGAGACCCCTTAGTTTCTCATCGGTTCTTCCCTGTTCGAGTCTAGTTTAGTGAACCGGTGGTAGTTTCTTGACGTTAAATAAGAGCTTAAAATAAGGCTTTATTATATATAATAAAGAAAGTTTGACTTATACTTTGAACGGGATACCATGATTAAACTCATAAGACAAACTGGAATATAGACGTTAGATTTCTAGTTAGACTCTCTATTGCGTTTTAATGCTGTTAAAAAAACAATAAAAGACAAAATTAGAAACGCAATTTGCTAGACGCATTGTTCCAACAGCTCCCTTTAAATTATTAAGGTTGTGATTTGATCCCTACGATCATCGATATTAAGGCCTAAGTGCTTCGGCCAAGGTCTAAGCTCACGCTTCCGCGTCACACAAGTTGCAATACAATTTCCAAGTAGCGAGAGCAATGGCAGCCAGACCAATTTAATACGAGGTATCAACGCTAACGTCCTAAGTACTGGCTTGGTGGCGGATGTATCCTCTTGATAACTGCTTACGGTTTCTCTCCGCTCAATGCAGTTACACGTGATCGTGGATCGAATGCACAAATTGCTAGCTTTTATGATATGATGGCTGTAATAAAGCGTCCCTGGCGCTTTATTGCTGCTCTTTACAATCCACCATTCGATCGTGTCGCGGGAAATACATAACTTTTTTATTTCTGAACGGCCGACGAAGATTTACGGCGTGTGACTACGCATAAGTTTGTCAACTGTTTAAAAGCCTTTTTAGGAAAAAGCTACTTAGCAGTGCCTGTCTCCTTGCGTGGTCCGAACTTGTCCTCATCTCTCGTGTTTTCCTCCTCAGATCCGACCTTTGTCAAAATGGCAGTCACGTTCTGAGGTCATTCGATCCCACTGGCGTGCCGCAATCTGTAACCATCTTTCGGAACTTTACATCGAAGGCGCCCGTTGCTGCACACTGTTCATCTTCCGTCATATTTCGGGACTTATTTAGGTCAGCGTTAAGCGAATCTGTTCTTCTCTTTGCACCCGGAAAATTTCATCTTCATTTAAGAGAGGATTGATTTCAAATGTTTGGAAATATTCAGTTGCAACTTGCCGTTGCAATTATTAGTTAACATTCAAGTTATAGCAGATCAAGTTACGTTTGATTTGATTTAGACTCGGTGGATGAATATTTAGTTTCCACTCATACCGAACGATGCGGCGGTCGAGCTGATGCATCCCTTCGGTGACAACTTCGGTCGTTTTTTTAGGACATCTAGGGCTTTATGTTCTCAAATTGCGATAAAAATTATAAGTGTTAAGTAACAATCGAAGCAAATTGTATCATTAGGCTACGCGCCTGTCCAATCATCATTCATTCTAATTTTCTCATTACCTTGGCCGTATTCCTTAGGCCAATCCTTGTAAGTCATCGGTTCAGTATTACTGCTACGGAAGTTACTGCTTTGCCAATTGTTGTAATCTTTGCTTATGGCTGTTTCATTTGGTAAAATGTATACAAATTCATCAATCATTATCATTACATTAACCATTACTGTAAACCGTAAACATAAGTGATCATTTTAAATATTAATACTTGACAAGATCCCGTGAACAAAAAAACGCGATTTAAAAAATAACTTAGGCGATTAAAATTGGTTTGGTGCGACGAAGCTTCCATCACGCATAGTAAGCATAGGTTGTGTCTGAACAAAACTGATGCTTATTGTTTTAGTGATAACGAAACTGCTTGCGTCTCAGTAAAATAATACAAATCATTGAAAAACGACTTAGATAATGAATCCATTTCAAATTCTTTAGTATCTGGTACGAACGAAAAAACGGATAAATTTAACTACCTACATATACAATTCAAATGAACACGAAATAAACATCACTTCGTATTTCTTAGCTCATATTTCGTAGCTCAAATGCATTTTATGGGAACAAGTTATACCATTAAATTGTTGAAAGAAGTTTTGACATAATCAAAATAGATTTACAATTATGTTTGATGGTGCACGCTTAAATTTTGTATTTTGCGTTCTCTAAATGTTTTGAGAGCTTTAGTTGTATAGATGCTTTTGTGTTTCGGTGTCGTAGATTTATTCTATGTGTACCTATCTATATTTTAGACATGCCACAGACTAGTGAACTGAGAATTTCTCCATCCATGCCGCCCGCGGTCATCTCAAAAGGATCGTATGACGATATCTGCAATACGCCGGGATGCATCCACACAGGTGAGGATAATTGTTCTGCCTTCATATAAAAATCCAGCAAAATTCGACTGTCAGATCTTTCAGCCAGTCTTTACCGTGATTAGCCGACCGTGTAGCTTATTTATATATTTTAATAACAAAATTTTAAAGGCTTGATTTAACATTTTCTTTTATTTACGAGATTAATTATTAACAATATTTCATTATTGTTACAAATTGTAAAATATTGGATATTGTAAGATATGGGAGCAATCACCCAGTTTTAAAACAAGCATCTGTTGGTTACACACAAACACCGGTCGCGCGTGGTAATCGAATCCACGACCGCCGTCAACAGACAGACTAGCAACTACACCACCGGGGTCACGAGATATCAGCGCAGACGGTATACAAAGACCCTCGTTCCAGCGTCGAGGCTGCTGAACAACATGAACGACCAGGTGGACCCGTGCGACGACTTCTACGACTTCGCTTGCGGCTCCTTCATTAAGAACACGCGCATCCCGGACGATAAGACCTCCGTGAACACCTTCTCCATCATCACGGACCAGCTGCAAGAGCAGATCAGGACCCTGCTGGATGAGCCCATCGCGAAGAATGAGCCGAGACCCTTCGTTCTGGCCAAGACCCTGTACCAGGCGTGCATGAACAGAAGTGAGTACATTTAGAGTTTATTTCACTCAGCGCTAAATCAAGAACCAAATTTGAATACGACCATCACTCGGATTTCATTATGGCCGAGTAGCTCGAATGCAATTTCCAAGGTGTTTACCAATTAGTACACTGTTTTTAACGAAATATAAGCTCTTTGCTGGTGACGAGAGTCAATCACATAAAAGAATATTGTTACATTGATCTAATATTATTTAAATATTAGTTCCATTAGTTGTGTGTTTTAATCATTGAATTTACTTTGACGTAGGTACCGTCACTTTTTTTTTATATTCACAAGGCCACTGTCAAATATAACGCACTAATGATGTGAAACAATGAGTTTTAATTTTTCGTTTTTTTTTTTATACGTTTTTCCCTTTTAATGAATAATTAACAGGGAAAAACATCCGTTGATGACCATTCGAAACTCAAGTTCGTCAATAAATTAAACTCTAATTGAACAAACTATATTCCAAATCGTTGTCGAGTTAGGCATACTTTATGTAAATCCATTAATATTGAGCAGAATCATTTATGAGCACATTTAATTTTCATTTTGCAAAACACAGATTTACTATAAAAAGTGATGATCAAAAATCCATTAAATGTTTTCATGCTGTTAAAATGTACAAAAAATTACACACAAATCGAATTGATGGTCGGTGTGTAGAGCTAAGGTTTATCTGTGACTGCACACTCCTAGGATTGGCGGTTTATTGCGCGTGTTCGCTGGTGAAAGCCAGTCCACCGCTTCCGCAATTTGCACAACATACAATGTTCGTAGTGCAGAATGTACGGTGAGACGCCACCGCGGCTGCCTTTGGCGACGGAGTCTGCTATTGTGCTGAGCGTAGTTCCTGGCACGCAACAAATGGCCACGTTGGGCAACGGTCGAATAGCCGTTGCTAACGCGCCATCTGAACCGAATTTGCTGGCCCTCATTAGAGCCACACATGTGTATAGCGCCGACATTTGAACAAAGAAAGAATCCTCATGATACATTAGTGTTTCAATAGATTTAAAGAAAAAAAATAAGTATTATTCAAACGGTACTAAATGGCCACAACGTATATTTACCTATAAAACGGACAATGGAACAATAACGTGCGAATCATTATGAAAATCTCTCACGCTTTTTGCTATAATACCACACAATAGGGAATTTTCGCGGGAAATGGCATTCGAATGATAACATACGAATACTTGAGCATTAAATAAATATGAGGATTAGTATATTTCACTATCGATAAGAAGACTCAGTCCCAGTTACAAGATTTCAGGGAATCTTAGTTGCAATCGAATGTTTCTGACGACCAAAGTTTTACTATTCGTATTTAATACATACATCTGGAATACGACTACATTAACCGGGGGTTTTGACAATAAGCTCGGAGCTTCGAAGCGTTCCTTTGTATGTACTTTGATATTGTGAAAAAATTAAATTTTTAATGTCATTAAAACATTATTGATTAATCATGACTAATATATTTTTTCCGCGTAAATTATTTCAATAGCCATCAAACAGGCAGAATATAAAACCATGCTTATTTATTCTATGAATATTTTATATAATTTACAAACATCTTGTTTTGCATTTTTTACGTGCTCCTTCTTCTTCCCTGTAAATAAATGTATCTTGAAGGCTACATACATTTTGAGAAACGGTCTCGTAAAATCGGAGTTATAACAATAAGTGAAAAAACACATTATTAAAATTAAAAATCGGAGCTACTGACTGCATATAATTACAAACTTTTCCGAACCTGTTTGTCTTGTCTTTTTACCAACTTAAAAATCTCAAAGGACCGCAGACAAAGGAATTATACATGGACGAGACAAATGCAAAATAAAAAAAATAAATTATTCGCTTTTTAGAAAAAAAACGACGAAGTAAATGTTAGCCGACCTGGTATGCAAATTGTTAATATGATGATTGAAGGAGTTAGAAAAATATATAAAAACAAAAAGGTTGTGTAATAATAGAGAAAACTTGAAAAGACACAAAAAATGCTCACAAACAAAAAAAAAAATTACAAAAATATAATTTTTCGTACTACGCACCAGGTACAGACCGCAGGTACAGACGTGACTACGAGACAGACGGCACTATATTTGATCTCTCCTCACAGCCGCGATCGAGGCGCGCGGAGTCACACCTCTCCTGGACATGCTGCGCCGTCTCGGCGGCTGGCCCGTCCTGGACGGGGACACCTGGGACGAGCGCTCCTTCTCCTGGGTGGAGTCGGTCTACAAGTTCCGCTCCGCCGGCTACTCCGTGGACTACTTCCTCGACTTCTCCATCAGCGTCGACGTGAAGAACTCCACCAAGAGGATCATTGATGTAAGACCCTCCGTTCTACTCTGGCCGTGCGATCATGTTGTGTCGAAACGTTGGATCGTTACATGTGCTCATTGAGAACCCGCGGACGATCCGGATCTCGTATGTGTCCGTCCGCATGTTCCCAGTAACGACAAAAGCTTTGAAACGGTTTCGGTTAACGATTAGTAGTTACATTCATCTTTAAAACGCGAGCGCCTGTTGGTAGGTATTTTAATGAAACTTTTTTTATGTGAAAAGTTGCCAAGCGAGCACCTGATGCTAAGTGAATACCGCCGCCCATGGACATCTGCTACACCCGAGGGTTACAGATTCGGTGACAACCTTTTGAAAATTGGCCTCCGGCCAACTCACCAGACGAAACGCGAAAGTATTTCTCATACTTCCACTTTTCGCGGGTCTTCTGTGAGGTCGTGGTGCTTACCCGGACGATCCTGCCCATTACCACCGTAAGGTATTTTTAAGAAACTATAAAAAGTAACAATTTTACGAGGATTTTGGGCGCGAAAATATGTGTTTTCAAAATTTAGTTGGTACCGAAGTGGTTTTTTTTTTCATTTATGGACTTGTGTCTAAAGCACTCACGCCATTGACCCCGCAATCGTCGGCGATGTAATTGTCGATTCATTCGTAACAAGTGGGTCATGCCGAAACAGGTTTTCGTCGATTGCTTCATGCTCCATGACCAACGCGTTGTTTTGCCATTACTTGCACGGCGACTATATATTTTATATTTTATACGATATCCTAATATTATGTTGTGTTATTATAACGGAATGTCACGGTTTACCTTATCCTTTTCTGTCTTGTTTTCTTGCACATGAATATTTTACGAAAACACCTTGAGACCGCTCAGCGAAAGTGATGAGAACTGATGCGTCGCGCGTCGGCGAATTTTTTAACCGTGCGCGCATTACTTTTAGTATCTTTGTAACTTTGTTATTGTATCCCATATATTAATTATACATGATTTAGTAATATTAACAAATGACTACGTTCCGTCGGAACTAGCTATTAGCTCAAATACTCGCTTTACCTTTGCCTTCTAGTTTCACATTCCGTTTCACAACTGTCACCCTGAAACGACATCAGCTGAAATCTTACCCAAATCCCCTCCGTCCCGAATTATCCAATATCTTCAAGACGATGCCAATCAGGTACAGTTCCATAGGTAGCTTAACGACCGTGAGCTTAATTGGACCCAAGTCACGAGTGCCAAGGGAACATTCCTCGGCACCGTTGGCACAGAGCTCCGGATCGCTCGAGTGTTCGATTTGGTCCATAACGCTTGTACCGTTCACAGCTCGACCAGGCCTCGCTCGGCCTCAGTAGGGAGTACCTCAATCGGGGCTTCAGCGACAAGCTGGTCCAGGCGTACTACGCGTACATGGTGGACATCGCAGTGCAGCTGGGGGCCGAGCGCTCCCGAGCCGAGGTAGAGCTGAAGGTCTCGCTGCAGTTCGAGATGAAACTCGCCAACGTGAGTATCCGACGCTTTTGGTGGCAGCAGTAGATGCGGCAGCGTGGGAGAGTGGGAAGAGAGGCGATCGGAAGGCCGGTCTGAACGGTACTCTCCCATACGATGGGATTAATAGGAGGTTATTCAAGTCTTCGTTGACAGGGCACGCGTGTACGGGCTATGGAATGAGATCTGTTTGATGATAGAATTAATTTCTTTATGTGGTGCGAGATAATATACCAGTACTACCCGAACTAGCTTTCATTGCTAAAGGGAATATGTATATATTGCGCTTACTGAGAAATAATTACGTACGTGATCAGTAACGTTTAAGTTGGTTCCAAGATTAAGTGCCAGTGTATATATATAGTAAATGATTCAATCAATCGCATTCCAAAATTAAGTTACCATTGCCGTTTTAAATGCGAATACATGCAAACAAGAAATATTGAAATTGAAAACTTACACGTTACTTGAACAGGAACTGGTCTAGTGTTGTACATTTGAATCAATAGGTCCGACAACAAAACAATCTCGTAACAGCAAACTGCGATAGTTCCACTCGTAACTCATGCGCAACAACTTTTCAAACAAAATAACTTTGCAATTATTGTTAATTGAATGTAAGGAATCCTTTGTTAGGTTAAGCGCGGTATGCGCTGTAGTTTTCATTCAATGGTTTGCTATCGGCAAAACGCTATTAATTTATGTAAACGTTATGCAGAAACAGGTGGCTGGGGGAGAAATTAATTCAAGTGCTTTGCTTCGTAAGTAATAATACAGAGTGTAATGGTAAAAGCGCGTTTCATTTTCCATGCAGTTATATACCTAATAACGCAATATAAAACTTAATATGTCTCTTAACATAAATTCCGTAGCAGGTCTTGACAAGTGTGGTTTAAAACCGATTCAGATTCGGATGAGCCACACGAAATAACATTTCCATATTTTAGTAGCCGTTGTCATATCAAAGACAACTTGCAAAATTGTATAAAAACGTTACAATTTGGGAGTGTTAAGGTGGAAATATAAGATAGGAGTTTAAGCGATTTTCGGTTCTCGCGAGACGTTCCGCCCGGAGTGTGGAGCGTCGATGGGGGTTTACGAGGGCAGTAAATAGAGAGGATACCGGGCCGAGGGGCAATCGAGACCCTATGTCAACAGCAGACCCCTACTGCTTGGGGCCTGATGTGAGAACTGCAAGTCGACGCTAAAGCTTTTATTTATAAATAGAGGTTGAATGCTAAAACTTGAAAATAGTTTTGATTAGCAAGATGAAGGTATTGTGTTCTATGATGAGTTTCTAGTAGAGTCTTTTGATGTAAAAGAAGGTACGGTGTAGAAGGTACGTGTTGTCGACTCCGCGGCGCAGTTGCCAAGGGGTTCGTGGGTTCGATTCCCAAATGGGACAACTATTTGTGTGACCCAAAGATAATTGTTACGCATATGGATGTTTGTCCACGTGAATTTGTATGTAAAACTACATAGCAACACAGGATAATGATATCATACAGTAACGGCAATGTTTCTAATAAAATTAGCACTACTTTTGTATACGACGATAATTTTAGAGGCTCCTTTATAGCACGAATTGTACGGGGGCTAACACCAACATCGAATACGATCGTGTTATGCCGCCACAACTAACTTGCGACTGTTCTAACGGTACGGCCTTTCGTATCCCAAAGCTAAGTCGAACTATTTTCCTTGGAACTTTTCAAGGAACAAGCTGTTCGTTCAAGTTGCGGTCCTGGGAATTGGCCATCAAAATTTCATTTTGCACCGCGTAGAATAAAATTCAAAAATTTTCCTTCACCACATCAAATTTGGTGGGAAAAAAAACGAAAACAAGTGTACTTTTCACCTTTGCCTGATTACTGTCATTATATTTTTATTATATTATAACATATTAAAGTTCAAAAAGTAAAAGCTCATATAAGAATTTGTACACGCGGATACATAAACTGCAATATAAATAGTTGCAGCGAAAGCATCTATTTAAGAATCGCTTTCATTGATAAAAGACACGCATGATTATTATATTACAATTTAATGTATACCCCATCGAGTTTCCAATAAGCGGATTGTTTGACAGTATATTGAAATTATAATTGAACGTCGGAGCTTCAAAGGGCTTGTGGCTACACGGGATACGCAATACACAATACACGGGATCGATTATTGGAATATTTGGATTGCTGTCATCGCTTCGGCAATCCGACATTTCGATTCGAGATTTTAATTACGTTCCGCGAAACAGTCCAGATAGGTTTTCCATTAATCCATCGATCGGATGAAACCAATTGGATACCTCGGTCCTTTCCCACTACAGCTCTATACAGTACTCTCGCTGTAATGGATTTTTTTTCTATTCCCCTTTATATGATCAAACGGAGTAAAAGTTTTTGTAAGTAGAATTTTTTGATGCATGCTATGTTATGCGATTTTGGGATGTTATGTTAAATGTTTAATACTTACACCACCCTTATTATATGTTGATGGTAAAAATGTATGATGCATGTCGAACAAAGTAATTGTTGAATTTCGAATTTTGAAATGATTTTTCGTAAAATTTTTTAACTCTCGTCAAGTTTCGCTGTCGTAGTATTTGGGTTACATAGACGTTTCTGTCGTATAGACGATGGGCAGGATAGGGGGACGTTCGCCATTAAAGGGACCACAATGCGTTGTTTCAGATTTCCTTGCCACTCGAGAAGCGTCGTAACGCCACCAGCCTTTACAACCCCATGACGATTGCCGAGCTCGAGAGGACATTCCCCACGTAAGTTGCTCGCGACAAAATTGCAACTAATCGGAACCAACTTCCCAGTGATTTTATTGAGTTGAGCTTCATTTATACGGCCTTCGGGCAACGTGTTCCTTTCGACATTTTGCTGATGGCGTTTTCGCAGGGCAAAAACAATTTGAAATGGACATTTGAGGATTTATGAAAGTGGAAATCTGTAAGCGGGTTCAGTGTTAACAATTATTTCAATCATCATCATCATCATCATCCCTTTTATCCCACCTAGGTGGGATTGGTGCAACATGTTGATCATGTTGTAAGTGGTTTTGGATATATTTTTGGCCTGACGTCAACCCTCCTTGGGAAACAAAAGCCCACATCCGGGAAAATTATTTGTGGGTCCGACAAATACTTGTCCTGTGTGGCAATCGAATCCATGACCCTGGACGCTGCAGCCGATAGCTTAGCAATGGCGCCACCGGGTCAATGTGTCATTTATTATGTCAACTATATTGAAATATTAATCACTTGTTCAATCTGTTGTCGTCAGGATTCCGTGGCTGACTTACATCAACCGCCTGTTGGCCCCTCACCTCACGGTCGGCCCTGAGGAGATCACCATCGTCAACGTGCCTCAGTACATCAGCGACCTGGAGGTAATCAGCTTCCTGACACTCTGATAGGTTTAAGAGCACTGCCAGGGCCAGATTTAGAGGTCTGGAGGCCTCGGGGCAACAAAGGAGTGAAGGCCCATTAGCCCCAAATTATTTTCTATTGATTTCTGTTATTTAATGTAATCATGTTTGTAGTACTGTAGGTAAAAGTAAAACGCGAAAGTTGTTTACTATTGTTCACTAGTCTGAATAAGAAATTTTTTCCGAAGTCTCTATTGGTGGGGCCCCTCGTTTGTGGAGGCCCCCTTGGTTCACGGTGCCGAAAGGGAAGACACTGTAGACCAGAATGCCATGGTATCAGTTCATTCACCATCCTCATAGACAGACTATCAATTGTCTGGTCTGGACCCCAGTTTTAAGATCAATTAGATCAATTAGCTTCAACATTTTTTTCGTGTTGAACGGCTAATGCGTTAGTACTTTTAGTTTTTGCCGTGGTATTTGTGTCAAAATTTGTCATCGAATGACTAAGTATTTCATTGTGGAAAATGTAGCTTACCATTTAGTGAAGACAGTAGGTGGATGGATGTTAATACAACGCATCGTGGTTAAGCAATGACTTTGCAAAATCCATGACGTCACGCATAAAAAACACGTTTTTTCTAAATTCCCTTTTGATAAAATACTTGTTTAGGAGTTAAGTAAAATAAAATATAAAATTAATATGTTTCATATTAAATAACTTTGCGCGTTCCATTTTTTTTGGCTACAATTAAGTGGCTCTATCTAATTGACTTTTTCATTATAAAGAGCTTTTAAACTGCGGTAGGGCCACGCAACAGTGTTCGCTGTTGCACGAATGGGCAGGTCCGTCCGGGTAAGTACCACGACCTCACAGAAGACCGGCGTAAAGTAGAAGTGTTACACTTCTGCGTTTCGTCTCGTGAGTGGGGTACCAGGGGCGAATCTGATTAAAACTTGGCGATGCCTCTGCAACCCTACGGTTGTCGCAAATGTCGATAAGCGACGGTCATCACTTAGCGTGAGGTGAACCGCCCGCTTACCAAGGCGGCACTCATGGTGTTGTCGGCCAAGCATCTAGCTCCCGCCGTGTGGACCGGCACAACGATACAACGCCTCGCTCCCGTCCAGGTGTTGATGGAGACGACCCCCAAGCGCGTGCTGGCCAACTACGCGATGTGGCGCGTGGCGGCTGCTTCCGTGTCCTACCTGACCGAGGGGGTCCGGAGCAGACAGCTCGCCTACGTCACCGCCCTCTCCGGGAAAACGGAGCGCGAGAGCCGCTGGAAGGAGTGCGCGGACACGACCAGCATGAGGCGAGTGCCTCCCACTTTTCGATTCGCATCGTCCACTCAGACTCCCCGGACAGCCGCGATAGCTCGGCGTCCGGGCGCTCGCCTCTAATTACATTAGCTCGAGCAGCCTAAGTTCGAGCTCAGGTCAAATCTAGACCAATGAAATTGTGCTGAATTATCGCGCGCTCGGTGAAGGAAAACATCCCGAGGGAACCTGCATATTTTCGAGATAATCAAAAAAAGTCCGCAAATCAGCAGTGGGGCCGCGTGGTGTACTATGCCCTGATACCCTCTGTACAGAGGAGGCCTTTGCCCAGCAGTGCGACATGTGTTATTGGCTGTTACTTTACATTAACTCCAACTTTCATTAGTCGCAAGAGCGATATCCAATTCACACTTACGTCTACGGTCAAACGTTTTTGGATATTTCCTACTCGATGCGATCGTGTTCCTTTATATCCATTTTTTAGCATGCCATTTATCAAATTTAACTCCTTTAAATTTGATAAATAGCATGCTTTAGGATTAGTTTCCATTTTCTTTAAGTAATTTTTTTTTCTCTTGTTAAATCCCGGTTCGCCGTGAGTTTTCGTTCATTTATCTGAGAGGAAAATATGCAATTTACAATTTTTCATGCCGCTCGATCGGTGGATCAGCCGGGTTGCGACGCGATCTCCAGTCGGAGCCGTAAGAAGCGGCTCCGACTGGAGATCGCGTTGCAACGAACTATCGGATCATCGCCGATTGTGTGTGCGTGTTAGCGTCTAAGCGGCAGCGCGGCGCATTGGCCAGGTGCGAGCGGCTTTTGTGGGCGCGTGTGAGCGTTTCCCCGTTTCCCCCCCGCAGCCTCTCGATCGCCGTGGGCGCCCTCTACATCCGCAAGTACTTCGACGAGGGCTCGAAGGCGAACGCCCTCGAGATGGTCTCCGACATCCGGCAGCAGTTCAGGCGCACCCTCGCCGAGGTGGAGTGGATGGACGAGACCACGCGGCGCGCCGCCATCGAAAAGGCGGACGCGATGGCCGCCCACATCGCGTACCCCGGCGAGATGCTCGACAACGACAAGCTCACCGAGTTCTACACAGGGGTGAGCTCGCTCCCCTCCCAACCGGCCCGGCAACCTGATTCCAAGTCACACACACACACTCTACACTATCCTGACGGACCAAGTTCGAGACACACGCTCCAAATTAACATGGGACACGCAAACACTCACAACCAGCCTGCCAACAGAAGTCTGAGACACACACACACACTCCAAACGAGCCTAACGACCGAATTCTATTAAAATCAGTAGAAAAAGTACGAAAAGATTGTCGCCGCTGTGGGATACGAGCCCACGTCTTCGGCATTCGCAGCCTGACGCTTTAGCCACTAAGCTAAACGGCTGATTGCCACACCGACGAGTTTGTAGCTCGGAGAGCAATGGATTGCTACGTTTTTACTGTTTCCCATATACAGCTACGTAAGTCGTAACTACAAAATAAAATAGGGCGATAACTTTAGTACGGGGGCATGCTCTAAATGGATGTCTGACATTTTAAAGAACTTAAGGTCTACGCAAAGGCTGCCCGTGTCGTTCGTCGGTCGCGCGATAGGAACAACGCTCGAAATTAGACGACTCCTTCAGAGTATCCATCGCATGATGGACCGGTGTGGAGTGACGTTCCGATTTCCCCGCCGCAGTTGGAGATGTCCGCCGACAAGCTGATGGAGTCGGTCCTCAACCTGACCCTCTTCGGAACTGAGTACCTGTTCAAGAAGCTGCGGGAGCCGGTCAACAAAACCGACTGGGTGACCCACGGCCGTCCAGCCATCGTCAACGCCTTCTACTCCTCCATCGAGAACAGCATCCGTAAGCGAATGTAGCATCAAAGTGCGCTCCCAATGACGTGCTTTCGTGTGCGAGGGAGCCAGCGAGATTTCTTTGTTCACCTAATGTTAAGTGGTAACCGCCGCCCATGGACGTTCGCAACGCCCTTCGGGTGGCAAATACGCTGCCGCCTCTAAGTGGACCCTGGCCACCTCACTCACAGACAAAATGCAGAAGTGTTACACTTCCACTTCACGCCGGTCTTCTCTGAGGCCGTGGTAATTACCCGGACGGACCTGCCCATTCGTGCAACAGTGAAAACTGTTGCGTGGCCCTACCGCAGCTGGCGGTTCGTCTGACGTTAATGTAACCGCCGCCCACGGACATTTGCAACATCCGTTTGGTTGCAGATGCGTGGTCGCCTTTTAAGCGGGTGACACTCACCAGGCGAAACGCAGAAGTGTAATATAGAAAATAATTCCGTATATCACCTCTTCTAAAGCAGTTTTTGGATGAGTGCAGAACAATAAAACGCAGACAGAACAGCGTCCCTTCTCCACTCACATTTGTCAATATCGCTATTCTACAGACTAAGCCAAGGGGAAATGGTGGCCCGCAGGCCAAGTCATCTTAATTAAATTGGCCCGCGACAAACAAATTAATGTTATGGCATGCCTGGTTTCGAATGCGTTTCAAGAGTTAATTCAAGTGACTTGGAGCCTAATTTACAACGCTTCAATTAAAGAACATTCAATATTTCATTTTTCTCGCCAAACAATAAATGAATCACACTCATTACATATATGATTTACTTTTGTCAATCACTATTTTGAGTCCGTGGAAATGTTGTAATCATTTCATATGGTCCATCACTAAATCCGTTTCCCCATCCCTGGACTAAGCTGTCCAATTCAAATACGCTAAGGCTTAAGACCCTGGAATACTTTTTAACTGTGGTAGGACCACGCAGCAGCCTCGGCTGTTGCACGAATGGGCAGGCTCGTCCGGGTAAGTACCACGGCCTCACAGAAGACCGGCGTAAAGTGGAAGTATGATACTTTCGCGTTTCGTGTGGTCAGTGAGGTGGCCGGAGCCCAATTTTCAAAAGGTTGTCAACGCATCTGCAAACCCTCGGGTGTAGAAGATGTCCATGGGCGGCGGTATTCACTTAACATCAGGTGAACCGCCTGCTCGCTCGGCGACTTTTCCCATACAAAATAGGTACTGACGCCGGCCGTGATTTTCAGAGTTCCCTGCCGGCATACTGCAGGGCGCGTTCTTCTCGGCGACTCGGCCCGCCTACATGAACTACGGCGCCATCGGCTTCGTGATAGGCCACGAGATCACGCACGGCTTCGACGACCAGGTCGGTGCATTAATGCCATCTATTTATCTATCCATTCTCAATGCACAGCTAGTACGAATGCCAAGGCGTTATCTCGTACAGAGAAGATCAGGTATGTGCACAGAAAGATGATAGTATTAAAACCTTCCGTGGACCTTAAGAAACATAAAAAAAATAGCCCAATTGGTCCAGCCACTCTTGAGTTATGCGCTTACCGACATTCATTTTCATTTATTATAAATGTAGTACCCGGAGGACCGAGCTTTGCTCGGTTTGTTTTTTTTTTTTTTTGGTAAATCGTGTATTTTGGAAATTACATTTAGATACAAATTACTAAGTAATGAAATATGCATAATATGTTTCGATCATACCGACGAAATAATAAGAAAATATGAACTGGTGTTTTTCACAAAAGAAAGAACTTTAAAAAAAAATGAAAAAAAATAACAAAATAACAAATCGACAAAAAATAACACATAAAGAAATCAATGATCTGGAATCGAAAAAAAAGTAAAAAAATAAGTGTGTAAATGACCCTGATACAAACCACGGCCTTCTGTTTCGTGGCTGATTGTTAGCGGCCGCCCGATTACCGACCGAGCTATTATAACATTTTTTTTGGGGCGAAATTTGCCGTCGTATTCGAATGATATTTTTTATTCCCTTAAAACAGGGATAAAAGGACATTTTCTAAAAATGGAACCTATAGCCTATACCCTAGATCGATTTTTCGCCCCCGAATCTACGCACATACTAAATTTCATGAAAATCGCTGGAGCCGTTTCCGAGATTCCAATTATATATATATATATATATATATATATATATATATATATATATATACACAAGAATTGCTCGTTTAAAGGATAAGATAAACTTCATGTCACGATGTAGTTAGCGATTAACTCCGAAACTACTGAACCACTTTTTATCAAATTTTGTAAGCACCTGTAATTTGGCCCAACTTGGTTGATAGGGTAGTTTTTATCTCAATTATTGACTTCAATATTTGTTATTGCAAATTATTTGTTTATTAGAGGACAAAGAGCTATGTGAGTCCCATAAGATTCTAACAGATGGCGGTGTTAGATAAATTGATCGGCTGGATTGAGTAAGTATCCGATAGATGGCGGTATGACAAAAGGATAAACGTATGGGCCAGCTAGTATTATATAAGATAACATCTTGCAGGGACGTCAATTCGATAAGAACGGCAACCTGATAGACTGGTGGGAGGCGGAGACCATGCAGAAGTACCTCCAGAAGGCGAAGTGCATCATCGACCAGTACTCCAACTACACCGTCAAGGAGGTCGCCATGAAGGTATGGTACTGTTAGACTCGCAGCATTTTCAGTGCGTCTATCGCACGATTCAATGTTGTGTTGACGATACATAAATAGAAGAAAGAAATATTGTTTTGGTGGAATACACTTATCAATTGGAATTGATTGACAAAAATGTCAACAACGCCGTCAATCAGGCCAAAGAAACTCGGCGGGTTACTTTTTTTTTAACCGACTTCAAAAAAGAAGGAGGTTTCTTAATTCGACTGTATTATATATTTTTTTTATGTGTGTTCGCGGATAACTTCGCCATTTATGAACCGATTTTGATGATTATTTTTTTGTTGGAAAAGGGATATCCCAAAGGTGGCACCATGATAAAAAAACCCGGATCTGATGATGGCATTCTATAGAAATCAAGTGCAATCCTCAAATGTTATAGTTATCAACAATGTTTTTTAGTTTCCGGTTTGAAGTCGGTTTTTTTTGTTGAAAATTATTATTAATTTTTCGACTTGCACTGTGTGATATGAACATCCTAAATCCTTGCTAATATTATAAACGCGAAAGTTTGTATGTATGGATGGATGTTTTGTTACTCTTTCACGCAAATAATATTAAATGGATTTTAATGAAACTTTACAATAATATAGCTTATACATCAGAATAAGAGATAGGCTATAATTTATATACATATTTTATGTATATCTGTATTTTCTGTCCGACTGCTACGCCTTCAGCCTATTCCACGCAGACGTAGTCGCGGGCAGCAGCTTGTACAATACAAAAACTCCGATAGAATGAGCCCGCAGCGATCAATTCATTAGCAGAGTGTGTCATAACTCACCACGCACACAAACCTCGTGCCGTCCCTCAATCCCGCCCTCACTCGGCAGCTGAACGGGGTGAACACCCAGGGCGAGAACATCGCGGACAACGGCGGCATCAAGGAGGCTTACTACGCCTACGAGGCGTGGACCAAGAGGCACGGCGAGGAGCGCCGCCTCCCCGGCCTCGAGCGCTACAGCCCCAAACAGGTGCGGTCGCGTGCCAATTGGACGAAAAGAAGCGTTGCCCCATACCACTTCCCCCACTTTAGGACATTGTCGACGTTTCGCACGCATAAGTTCCAGATGCGAAACAACCATCCGTGGGTCACACTTGACACCCAAGCTAGTGCCTCGGCAACTGCGCCATAGAATCATCGAAGTCATATCGACATAAGAAACGCACATTTCATCTGTAGATGGTCATCTCTTTTTAAATCTACCGCCCTTGGTAACGTTCCCTCTAACGGAGAGAAACTCCGTAGGTGGCTTTTGCATTCCTCAGAGCACTCTATGATGTATCTATAATAAGAGAATCTACACGGCTCACTCCGTGGTAAGCCACTGCCAAATAGTCAGTGATCCGCTACTGTAGAGGTCGCGGCTGTGCTGCCAGTATTAAGATGCTTATTATTAGACTCATGGATGGGAATATCAATGACTTCTTAGGCGATGAGTGTTGTGGGTTCGATTCCCACTCGGGACAAGTGCTTGTGTGACCAACGGCAACTATTCTGGATCTGGGTGTTTGTTCCCACGGAGAGTTGCGTGGGATAAGAACGGGAGAAAGAAAGAGAGAGAGAGAGAGAGAGAGGGGAATTTAAATAGATTAATAAATTGTTTTCTATGAGGGGCAACCCATTTATATCAGTGACAAAAGCTGCTATGTTGGAGATGTCTACAGAAACACAATGATGTGAGATTGAAAGTTAACTTTTTTTATTATTACTGTCAACTGATTTATTATTTTTATGGTCAGCCAAGTCGTTAGACGCAGTAGGCTTCTATTTTGTACGAATTACTTAGTGCATGGCTTTACCTCGTGGTAAAAGGCAGTATCAGCTTGTCGCATTGCTTCCGACTGCGCTCCCCGCTGCGCCCGATGCGCCACTGCTGCGGCTTTTCGGCTGATTGCACACCTAGCGGTATTCGATCCTGAATCATCGTAGACTGCGTAGCGTGACAGAGGGCGTAGTAGTAGCGGCCAGCGGCCGACCGTCGCCCGCCTCTGACCTCTCCCTCCCGCCGCAGCTGTTCTGGCTGAGCGCGGCGAACACGTGGTGCGCCGTGTACCGCAACGAGGCGATCAAGCTGCGCATCACGACCGGCTTCCACGCGCCGGGCCGCTTCCGCGTGCTGGGGCCCCTCGCCAACATGGCCGAGTTCTCGCGCGACTTCCGCTGCCCGCCCGGCGCGCCCATGAACCCCAGCCGCAAGTGCAAGGTCTGGTAGATCCGCCACCGCTGTCGGACCCCGCCCCTCGCCCCCCGCCTACCCCCCCGCCCCCGCGAGACCCGCCCGCCCACCGTTCCGCCGCCCATTCGCATCTGTACTGCATTCCGACGGGCCGTCACACGCGAGACAGCGGCGATGCGTCCAAGCGAACGAGCGTCCGTTGCACACGTGACAAACGCTCGTGTAGGGGTTCAATTGAAAAAAAAATGTATTTTATGTAACGATTTTAATGTTGTGAAGTCGTTGGAAGGTCCAGTTGAAAATTGGCCAATGGATATCGATCGGTCGACACACGGTTGGAATGGTAGCAGTCGTGCAGATTTCTCCACTGGCAACACTGGCGATGCGACGTTGGACAATTAAATCTAAAGAGGTGGCAAGCTACATTAGCCCAATGGTCACAATTCACATTGACCTACCAAATTGTTTTCAGAATTTCTGCTTGTAAATAGCTACGTGGTCTCTTGTGATTTACATCCTTTCTACTGTAGAGCCAATATTAAAGTTAGTAATTTAGTGAAATAGCTCGACACAGTTCAAATTTGACTTAAAATATGGCGAGACAACTCAAATATCTCAAAGAAATAATTACTTGAAAAAGTTATAGGAAACGTCTACCGTGTCTTTAAATAGTGTACGTTTCAAGTACAAAAAGCTTTTAGTAGTCCGATTTTCCATGATGTTAATAAAAAAAAAATATAGGCATTAACAAAACTTTTCTCGATTTCTTTGTAAGTTAGATTAAGTTACATCTAGCCGTTAGGGGTTTCTCCGATTTTACTAATCGGTCTCATTGTTTCGCGATATTTTCGTCTCTCATATTTATTTATTTATCAATGGCCGCGATTTTGTTTTTTCGTCTATCTTATGTCTTGGTTTTTAAGTGCTTTTATTGGTCACGATATTTGGTCGTATGTTGTCCTAGACTGTGTAAGTTGGTCAGAGGGCGTTGTCGTAGCGACGCGGCCGCCTTCTGTGGCGCCGGTCTAGTTTAGAAATCGCTATGGGCGCGTTGCTACGCGGCTACACGGCTACGCGGCTACGCGGCTACGCGTCTACGCCGAGAAGCCAGTGCGCGCGCCCCAGCGCGCCGCACCTCATCGCCGCCTCGGCGCGCGTAGTGATAATTTAACCGTAGATTGTTAGTTAGATGACCCCTTTGAATATGATACCTTTTTCGATGGAGTTGCATTGTAGTAATTAAACAATACAAGAATATAACACCTTTTTGGATGCCGGTGCATTGTAGTAATTGAACATTACAAGAATATAATACATTTTTGGATGCAGTTGCATTATAGTATTTAACAGTAGAATAATAATGAAAACCTTTTTGGATGCAGATGCATTAGAGTAATTAATCAGTAAAAGAACATAAAATACCTTTTTCGAAGCGGTTGCATTGTAGTAATTAATTAATACAATAAACCTTTTTGGATGCAGTTGCATTGTAGTAGTTAAGTAATACAAAAAAGTACCGTTTTTGGAATGCAATTGCATTATAGTATTCAATAATTAATAATAAAATATCTTTTTGGATGCACAAGTAATTAAGTATTACAAGAATGTTCTAACCTTTTTGGATGCCGAGATTGTAGTGATTAATAGTACAAGTACCTAGTTAATACAAAAAGTAAAGTTTTGGATATCACATTAAAATAAATAATCGAAATATAATCGATGCAGTTGCATTGTATAATAATTAAGTATTACAATGAATGTTCTACCCTTTTTGGATGCAGATGGATTGCAAGAACCAAAATAATACTTTTTGGATGGTTGCATTGTTAATTGATCAATACAAGAATTTAAAATACCTTTTTGGATGCAGTTGCATTGTAGTAATTAATCAGCATAGTAATAAAGATAAGTACCTTTTTTGAATGCATACCTTTTTCGATGGAGTTGCATTGTAGTAATTAAACAATACAAGAATATAACACCTTTTTGGATGCCGGTGCATTGTAGTAATTGAACATTACACATTTTTGGATGCAGTTGCATTATAGTATTTAACAGTAGAATAATAATGAAAACCTTTTTGGATGCAGATGCATTAGAGTAATTAATCAGTAAAAGAACATAAAATACCTTTTTCGAAGCGGTTGCATTGTAGTAATTAATTAATACAATAATATAATAACCTTTTTGGATGCAGTTGCATTGTAGTAGTTAAGTAATACAAAAAAGTACCGTTTTGGATGCAATTGCATTATAGTATTCAATCAATAAAATAATATAAAATATCTTTTTGGATGCAGTTGCATTGTAGTAATTAAGTATTACAAGAATGTTCTACCTTTTTGGATGCAGATGGATTGTAGTGATTAATCAATACAAGAACAAAATACCTTTTTGGAAACGGTTGCATTGTAGTAATTGATCAATACAAGAATTTAGTACCTTTTGAATGCAGTTTCATTATTGTAATTAATCTATGTAAGAATATAATACATTTTCAATGCAGTTGCATTGTAGTAATTAAGCACTACAAGAATATAGTACCTTTTTGGACGCCATTGTGTTATAGTATTTAATCAATAAAATAATATAAAATACCTTTTTGGATGCAGATGCATTGTAGTAATTGATCAATACAAGAAAATAATAACTTTTAGATGCGTTTGCATTATTGTAATTAATATATATAAGAATATTATACATTTTCGATGCAGTTGCATTGTAGTAATTAAGCACTATAAGAATATAGTACCTTTTTGGACGCAGTTATATTATAGTATTTAATCAATGAAATACCTTTTTGGATGCAGTTGCATTATAGTATTTAATCAATATAAGAATACATACATACATGTGTATATTTAATAACTTTTTCGATGCCGATGCATTGTAGTAATTAATCGTTTCAAGAATATAATACCTTTAAGGATGCAAATGAATTTTAGTAATTAATCAATACAAGAATATAAAATACCTTTTCGGATGCGGTTGCATTGTATTAATTAATCACCAAAAGAATAATACCTTTTTGGATGCCGATGCATTGTAGTAAATAATCACTACAAGAATATAAAATACATTTTTGGTTGCAGTTGCAATAAAAAACACAAGAAAATAATAGATTTTTGGATGCATTGTAGTAATTAATTAATACAAGAATATAATACCTTTAAGGACGCAGATGCATTATAGTAATTAATCAATATATCAAAATAAAATACCTTTGTGGATGCCGATGCATTGTAGTAATTAATCGTTACAAGAATATAAAACGCCTTTTTAGATGCAGTTGCATTGTAGTAGTTTATCAATACAAGAATATAATACCTTTAAGGATGCAAATGAATTTTAGTAATTAATCAATACAAGAATATAATATACCTTTTCGGATGCGGTTGCATTGTATTAATTAATCAATAAAAGAATATAATACCTTTTTGGGTGCCGATGCATTGTAGTAAATAATGAGTACAAGAATATAAAATACATTTTTGGTTGCAATTGCAATAAAAAATACAAGAAAACAATAGATTTTTGGATGACGATGCATTGTAGTAATTAATTAATACAAGAATGTAATACCTTAAGGACGCAGATGCATTTTAGTAATTAATCAATATAACAAAATAAAATACCTTTTTGGATTCCGATGCATTGTAGTAATTAAATAATACAGGAATAAAAATACTTTCTGGATGCAGTTGCATTGTATTAGTTAATCAAAACAAGAATATAAAATACCTTTTTGGATGCCGTTGCATTGCAGTAATTAATTAATACAAGAATATAATATTTTTTGGATTCAGTTGGATTGTAGTAATTAATTAAGACAAGAATATAATATCTTTTTGATTCAGTTGCATTGTATTAATAAATCAATACAAGAATGTAATATCTTTTTGGATTCAGTTGCATTGTATTAATTAATCAATACAAGAATATAATATCTTTTTGTTCAGTTGCATTGTATTAATTAATCAGTACAAGAATATAATATCTTTTTGGATTCAGTTGCATTGTATTAATTAATCAGTACAAGAATATAATATCTTTTTGGATTCAGTTGCATTGTATTAATTAATCAGTACAAGAATATAATATCTTTTTGGGTGCAGTTGCATTTTATTAATCAGTCAAAACAAGAATATAATATCTTTTTGGATTCAATTGCATTGTATAAATTAATCAATACAAGAATATAATATCTTTTTGGATTCAGTTGCATTGTATTAATTAATCGATACAAGAATATAATATCTTTTTGGATTCAGTTGCATTGTATTAATTAATCAATACAAGAATATAAAACCCTTTTCGATGTAGTTGCTATTAATCAATATATGAAGATAAAATCGTTCTGTCGATACTTGTTTCATTTATGGCCCCTCTTATTACCCACTTCAGCTTATGTTTGACAATAGTTCCACCAAGTCGAGAACTTAACGAATAAGTTAAAAAAGTAAGTTTCAACGTCTTGGAAAGTTTTTAATGCACCAGTGAGGACGTGGAGGGTAGTGGATAAGGCAGATTTTTTATTTTTTTATTTTCTTATTTTTTTTAAAGCATTGCCCTTACTTTGGGATAACATTATCCTGTGTTGTACAGTCTCTTATAAATTGATCAATATGATACAAAGCAAGTTCTGACAACAATCGTAAAGCATAGGAACACTAAAATAAAACAGCATTTAATACAGTTTATCAATTTAATTCCATAGAAATAATAAATAGTACAACACAATTTGGGCACTATAAGTTCACCATACGTACGAACAATGTTGACAATCATACGTCACAGATTACGCGGTAATCGCAATTAAAGCCCTACAACGAAGCGAGGGGGACCAAATGCGATATGGGCACAACTCTTCGTCACACAATCATCACAAAAAGGACCACACCGGTGATCACCGAATAAAAAGGCGGAGAGACCTTGCCGCGTTGATAATTCACTTAATAACTATACACTTAAATGGAAACTTAATATCTATTATAATAGGTTCATACACTTAATAATACGTTAAATATAGAAAAAATCGTAATAAAACGTAGTAAAAATCAATCTACACAAAAATAGTACGAGTATAAAATAATACTGCATTGCGTATTGCATATTGAATGAAATAAGTCACCAATAAGAATGTTTCAGGTGGGCTTATGACCTGTGCGTAAAAGTCCTATGCAACTTTTACGGTATTATAAATAAACAAACACTTCGCGGAATGCGCACACATAATAATTGTCTCTTGTTTCCGAAATTATTTACTATAAGTAATATACTGGCACAGCTTCTAGTTTCCCTCCATACTATTGCGCGCAAATAAATAGAAACCGTATGTATCATCCATTTAATAAACTATGACTAGTACAAGAGCTGCAACGTTATTTTAAAACGTGTGCTACTTCGCGATCACTAACCTGTCGCAATATCATCATTATTTCCATATACATAGTGCAATTTAAATTAAACGCCACTCACTTCGACAATACCAAGCTGCCAACACCAAGAATGGCATTATAAATTCAATAGTAGCACTTATAAGCACTCATAAAACCGGTCATACACTTAACATAAACAAACGAGAAAAATTCTCAATATACAAAAAGACATAATTCACGCGATATCATAGAAGAAGAGTTGTGCCTTTTACAAAAATTCTCCAGCCGCCTTTGCAGAAGTTCTAAGCAAAGCTCAAAAGCTGCATTACAAATACGGTACATGTGCTTAAACCAGTGTTCTACATTTGTGCTTGGGGTACGGTGTTGGGCTTGTCACCCATCACTAGGGACCCGATAATTTCCGCTGAGGGTACATCACTAGCTACCACTGTCCAGAGAGCCGCAGAAAACATACATACAACATAGCTAAGTGCCTCCTTGAAGTCATAGGGTTTATAACACCAAGACAATTCATACAATGTAAAAAAGGATTACGAGTTTAAGCCAAAAGGTCACAATGCACCAAAGCACTAGTCGAATCTAAACGAAGAACACTATTGCTGTCTCATTTCAACGCACATATATATAGCGCTGCGAAAGAGACGGCGTGTTGTCTAACGATACAGTTCATTTTAGAACTGAACACAACACCTCACAACTATAACCCGAAATAACGTGTATAATTTTTAGTTTACCGAATAACAAGTTACGTGAAAAGTCGTTTTCTTATCTTATATTGGAAGAAATATTGTACGACTAGTATATATGGTGAAACGATTATAATCGATATATAGCTGAAGTCTACTCAAAACTAGGTTGGACCTATATGCCGACCTGGTTTTGTTTAAATGTGCCCATCTGACTCCTTAGCAACTTGTAAGCATCTGAGATACAACTCCGAATTTCGAAACGACTCACCCGTAAATTACTTCCAAAACTTGTATCACTACAATTAACATTATTAACACATAGTTCCATAAAGTAAAACGAGAGACTTCGTTACAATTTCGAATCGTTGACTGGTTTTCGTATCGCCATTCGTCGATGGAGAAAGTTTTGTACTACATAATATTTGTATTAAATTCAACATTGTGCCTTCTGTTAATACGGCGCTGCTATTCAATAACTGCTCTTGCAGATATTTCGATGTATAGTTTTATATGCAGCAAGGACACGGGCGACAGCTGGTGGCATTGCAAAATAGAATCTACCGCGATGCACTTCGAAGGATATAATATCAAAATGGACTCTATCACCCTGTCATTGGGAACAATTTTCAAAGCAGCTGACTTGTATTATAGTGGTACATACGGGATATAGTTTAGCATATATATAGAGAGTGTTTAACTGCAAAATGCGCCCTTCTTTGTTGAATGCAGTTTGACTGAATATCGTTTTTACATATATATCTATATAATTTATAGGACCTCCAAATCTGTAGGTCCGTAAAACTCACAAAAGGCCTCGCGTGGTCTCTTACAGGCGGACTACTGCCATTTTAAAATACAAAATGTATGATTTTTCAAAGTAACAGTTTTCAATACTTTTACAGAAGGAATTAGACAGATATTAAGAATTAGTAAATACATTCATGGGAGATTAACTGTGTTTAATGGAGCACTAAACCTAGAAAGGTTAGGTAAAACCTAACATTATTAGAGCTTAAACAACTGTTCGTTATAGGAGTATACAGTAAAATCGAAACGTTTAACCGGCTTACATCATAATGTTAATTTAATTATTTATTATAACAAGTAACTTGTGCAGAAACTATTTGTGTAAGTGACGCTTTACTACAATTGCAAGTTATTGTGGGAAGATTCCGAATGTATACATAAAATCCTAAATAGCTAAATAATCGGTTTCTACTGTTTAGGAAATTCTCGATACGTCTGGATATGTTAGTGGGAAAACTGGTTAACATTTAGTTTTATTTCGAACCGTGCTATTTTAATATGTTCCGGTTAACGCGTATAGGATATATAATTTTAAAAGCGTATATAACGTTCGGTTATATATGGCGAACAGTTCTACTTCGACTAAACATTTTATAAATATATTAGATATCTGGTATCGTCACTTGTATGTGTTTGCTGGAGATTTTCATTCCACAGATATCGGTTAATTCCTAATCGACATACCGACAGGTTTTCAATCAAGTTTATACATTTCGATGACGTTGACATACAAATGAAGCTCGATAGGTATCGATATTGTCGACGCACCATATACTGTAGTGTTGAACATTACAAACTAACAACGTATAATTATACACATTGAGACTAATACACCATTACTGTGATATTTCACAGCGACCTCTCTGTCTGAACGCGCTGTTAACATTGAATTAGGTTTGAATATCTTTCTACGTGAAATGCGTAGTTTTTTTTTTTTTTTTCTTTATAATTCTGTACCTCAGAGGTAAACGGCATTGAACATTTACTATTTTGTTCTTGCGATTTTAACGGTGTAAGAAAGATATAATTTTGTAGCCAATTGGTTTTGTCGAGATCTAACTTGTTACTACGGTTTTTACTATATTGTTACTATTTAGTTGGGTGAGTTAAACGGAGTATTTGAGTAGGGTTTAAAGTTAGTTATCACAGCGAGGTGTCGTAAGCGCTACTTCTGGCCGGGGGACCCGGTTCGGTTCCCTGGACCCTGCGCGGCCTTGGGCTCCGGACCCTCACTCCTCGGGGCTCGTGGGGCTCTCTTGGTGGACGAGCTGCGGCTTCAGGTAGACGAGGAACGCCAGCACTCGGTCCTCCTCCGGCGCGGAGCCCCTGCGGGAGGAGCGTTTAGATATACACGCTTCGGAAGTATCGTTTGGAAATGTAAAATAGTCGCAGCGATACACTAGATCGTGAAATTGGAGTATATAATATTATATACACTATATATAAAAATCCAGCAGCGCCGGAAGGTTTTGTTCATTTGTGTACAAGAGATCCTTACTAGTAATTATAAGCGCGAAAGTTTGTATGTATGGATGTTTGTTACTATCTCGCGCGAAAACTACTGAATGAATTATTGAAAAATTATGAACACATCTGAATAACACATAGGCTATAATTTATAGATTGGATACAGAAGATTATTGAGATACAGGGGTATCTCAAAGTAACATTGTCTGTTACGCCTTTAGGACTAATCCTCATACCAAGTTTATTTTGTATAAAGTTAGGATAAGTAAGACATCGGATAAGAAAATAAGGTACTTGAAGTACCAATCCTATTCAGACGAAGTCGTGGGCAACAGCTAGTCACAATTTAAAATCATCTTGTGTTGAAGTTCTAATATAATACTAAGGTTTAAAGTTTTTTTTATAGTGCTAATCTCTGCACTTAAGATTGAACATTAAAACTCATTAATTTTATGTAGAAGGAAGGCGTTAAGATTTTCGTCGCTGTGGTTATCAGCCGTTTAGCTCAGTGGCTAGAGCGTCAGGCCGCGAATGCCGATGACGCGGGTTCGATTCCCACGGCGGCGACAATCTTTTCGTACTTTTTCTACATGTTCTAATAATACTAAGTTATAAATTAAATTATGAACTCATTGGCAAAACTCACTCGACGTCAATCTCGATCGCCAGGGCCGCGTGATGGGGCTTGCCTTCCTCGTCGAACCATCTGGTATGTTAAGGTGGTATGTATGAGATATTATGGACGCAGGAAGAGTGTATGGGTCGATACAAAAGACTTGTCCGGTTTGTACTTGATTGGCACAGGTTTCTTGTCATTTGTGGAAATGGCCATTTAATTTTTTTCTGTGAAGTGACCGAACTGGCGGTTCACCTAATGTTAAGCGATAACCGCCGCCAATGGACAATACCCGGAGGATTACATGAGCGTTGCGATCTTTAAGCAACACGGGCCCCGGCTACCTCACACACCAGACGAAACGCAGAAGCAGCACTTCTACTTGACGCGGGTCTTCTGCGGGCTCGCGGTACTTCCCCGGACGGACCCGCCCATTAATGCACCGGCGGCCAATGACGATGGGGCGCACTCACACGTCGAACAGCGAGGGCGCGGCCGGCGGTGAGGGGGCGAGGGCGCGGGGGCGGCGCGCCCTCCCGCCGCTCGCCCTCGCCGCCCCCAGGGTGGAGCGGGCCAGCGGCCAGTAGGAGCGCGCCCCCGCCCCCGCCCCCGCCCCGTCGATACGCTCGATGCGCACCCACCCTGGAACGGAAGGTGAATGGTATCAAAGATATCGGGCGTGAATAATTAATTAAGGTGAACAATTGAAACATCAAGTATTTGAGGTGTTGTCGATCGTATAAAGTAATAGCCTGTATTAGTCCCACTGCTGGACGGAACGGGAGCTCACTGTGGACTGGCGGATTTCACGTATCTTCGATTTTTTTCCCTTTCTTTATTATCTCGCAAAATAAACACGTTTCCTTCACCGTTGAGCACATGATTGGTCAGCGATAAACTATTTAATTGGTTTCAATTGGCTGGCAAAAGAATTTGAACTCGGCTTGCTTCTCAATGTCAGAAAGGTATGGAAAAGAGCATGTTAGGCTTGAAACTAAAGGACTGAGATAGAAGTATAGACATCAGACGCAAAACGATATTAACAGACATGTTGTCACGTATTGACCTACTTAAATGGAGTTGGACTGGACATATGCTCCGCTGCGAAAAGGCGAAATGGAGCAAACAAGTGATGTCGGTAACCGAGAGATGGCGCTAGGAGCCGAAGTCGCTAAGAAATAAGGTGCGAGGATGAATTTAAGATGAGCTTAGGCCCCTTTGGATACGAGTAGCAGCAGATAGAAAGTAGTGGAGAGAGCTGGAGGCCTTTGCCGTAAGGCGCAACGAACCAAGAGATATTCTATAAACAAATATACGAGTAAACTTTTTATTATTTATATTGTACTTCATAATCTCATTTTTCATTTTTATTTTTTATTTTTTACCATAAATGTAAAAAGTTCAGCAAATAAAGGATTATTATTGTTTCTCATTACGCCATAGCTACTTAATAGAATAGTAGTAGTATTGATCGCGTTTATACAGCAAAAAGGCTAAAACACACAATAATAATATATTATTTTCATATGCAAAGTGAAGAGACTATTCGCCGTGGCACAAACAAAATTACATTGCTTAGCCATTCAACAAAGGGCAATTCGCATGGAGCTTTCGTTACGCGAGATAAACGGAGACCCCTCTGAGGAGACGTACCGGCGAACGGCGGCTGGGCGTCCGGCTGGCAGTTGGGGCAGTGGCACCGCACCTGGCCCCAGGGCACCGCCCTGCGCAGCTCCGGGTACGGCTGCACCAGGTACTTCCAGTACTTGAGCACCAGGCGCAGGTGCTCGCACGCGTCGCCGCACGCGTCCCACTCCCAGGGGAAACCCTCGTCCCCGGCGCCGTCGTAGTCCAGGCACAGGATCCGGTTTAAGTAGTTCAGATTCTCCGCGGTGAGGGTCTCCGAGAAGATGTCGTCGCGGCGCGTCGACTCGTCCATGGACGAGGACTGCTCCTCGGACAGGTCGGGCAGGTTGCCCGTCTCCAGGGCGAGGGCGTCCACGATCTCCGCGTCCAGGTTGTCCACCTCGCCCGCCTCCGGGTAGCGGTCGTTGTGGCGGATGTTCGTGTCGCACCTGCAGCCGCGGGGCTCGCGCAGTCTGGCCGCGGCGTGGACGTCGCCGAAGCTGTGGGTCGAGTGGCTCTTGTGCACGTGGTGGCAGGGCGCGGCCCGGGTGAGGATGAGGCTGTGGTGCATCGTGGCGGGCCCGGGGTCGGCGCCCTCGGGCGAGGAGTGCGCGGAGCCGAAGTCCTCGGTGAGGTTGTCGTGGCTGCACGCCCTCGCCCTGCGCCTGGCCCTCGGCTCCGAGAGGCTGCCGTCGGGGCCCGGCGAGGTGGCGTCGTCGTCCGGCAGCTCCGACTCGGCGGAGGTCTCCTCCCTCAGCTCCGCGATGCTCGGGAGGTCCAGCGAGACCCCGCTGCCGAGCACGTGCGGATGCAGCAGGATGGACACCTGACGACGTAAATGGCGCTATATGAGATTTTATTCGATTAATCGGGATTTAAAAAAAAACCTACAGAAAAGACTACCGTGGTAGAGCCGCGCAGATTATACTATTGCATCAATAAATAGTTCTAATCGCTCTAAGAGAACGAATGATGTAGAATTCTTTTATATATGGTAGGGCCACGCAACAGTTTTCATTGTTGCACGAATGGGGCGGTCTGTCCAGGCACAACGAGCTCAGAGAAGACCGGCGTAAAGTGAAAGCATCATACCCTTGCGTTTTTTCTGGTGAGTGAAGACTGGTGAGAGCCGGAGACCACTTTATTAAAGGTGTTGCAAAAGTTGTCAATGAGCAGCGGTTATCACTCGACATCAGGTGAACTGCCGGCTCGTTTGCCACCTTCTCACATAAAAAAACACAATGTGATATATTTTTGCGTTTCGTTTGATGGCAAAGGTTTCGTGTGCCTCTGGGCACCCTTTCTTTTCAAAGTTGCCGATGCATCAGCAAGCCATACTTATTAGTCCAGTCCTTTTCGCTTGACAATTTCTGAAAGATGAAATGATTTCTAAACACCCTACAAGATATATACGACATTACACTTAAAAAAAAATATACACCAGTTCTGGAAAGTAAGGTCTCCGCTGGTGCCTCAAAACATCAGCGCCATGAAAAACGGAAAAAATTTAGGTCTACTGTTCCTGTTGCCATCACTCGCCTGGCAGACCTTCCCGTACAGATCGATGAGGGGGTACACTCCGGTGATTGTGGGCGGCACGACGCCAGCTATCCCCAGCGGCCGCCCATCCATCTCCACCATCAGCTCGCTGTTGCAGCGGAACTCTATCGCCAGCACGGTTAGCTCGCACACCTCCTCCAGAGCCCACGCCGTTTTCGTGCGGATCTGCGGATCGTTATTAACAAACTGAAGCAATACACGGAACTGGCTCTGGGCCAATTTCCTGAAGAGGGCGTCAGTGTGCAGTGCGATCGATTGAGAGACACCCCGATCCGCTATTGTCCTCAAGCTATAGCGACTTATTGTACGGCGGTATGGTTTATGCAGTTGACGAGTTGAACACCTATGGATACGTTGCAAATTACGATCAGGCATTTCGGTCTTATCAGGCGCCGGTTAGTGACTTTTAAAGACTTTATCTGCTCTTCGGTTGTATGGCGTGGATTGGTAGCTTGTTTAGTTTAGGTTGGTGGTGCTGGGTGGCCAGCCCCATGGATGGGGGTGATCGGTAGGCCACGTTGAAGGGTCCTGGAGCAGAGGGGAGTCGCTCCACGAGTAGATACTGAGTCACGGAAGCATTTTAAGTGAAAAATGGTGGTTCACCTGATGGTGAGTGAATACCGCCGGCCAAGGATACCAGCACCTTGGAGACTGCAGATGCGTTGACAACCTTTAAAATAGTGGGCGCCGATTACCTCACTCAGCCGTCGAGACTACACACTATTGTGTGGTCGTGGTACTTCCCCGGACGAGGCTGCCCATTCGTGCCACAGCGGAAACTGGACCGTGGCCCTGCACTATCCACTGTACAGTAAACACAGGAAATAGGCGTTCCCGTGATTCTGCCAATAGGAGCCATGTGGTACACCGTTTATGTTTTATGCGTACGCATTGACAGTTACACAAAAAAGTTGTGGGGTCGATTTCGTTCACGAAGGAGCCGGGCTCCTTCCGAGCGTACGGAACGTGGTATATGATCCTGTCGTGTCAGGGATGACAGGGTATTTGAAGAATTCCCCCAGATAACAAAAAAAAAACATTTTCTCCCCGGAGAAAAACAAGTAGGCGTGGGAGGTGGCGGGTGTGGGTCGGTCAGAGTTAGAAGGCGTTTCTGCCAACAAAACAAGTGGGCATAGGTCAGGTTCCGGCGTTACAGGGAAACAAGAGTAACTCACTAGCGTGGGAGGGGGGGTAGGTCGCAACTGGTTGATAAAATTGGGTAGAGTAGGTCACAAAACGTACGGGAATAAGTGGGGGGGGGAGGGGTCAGCTAGGGGTCAGTCGCGGGTCAAGGGCCGGTGCTCACGTGCTCGCCGTCCTCGCAGCGCACGTCGCTGGTGAGCACCCAGGCCGGGGGCTCCAGCTGGGTGGAGGTGTCCGGCAGCTCGTCCGGCGGCAGCTCCACCGCGCCCACCGCGGCGCTGCCCGACCACGAGTCGTCCACCTTGTCCACGCGGAACTGCGCACACAGCGGGGGAGGGGGCGGTTGACGATGCGCGTAATGGTTCCACCGATTTTAATTGCACCGGTTGCCCAGGGGGTTAGGCGCCGGGCGAGCGGTTGCACCGAGTACGGGTCGAAGGGGGGGGGGGGGGGGGGGGGGGGGGGGGCTTTCCGCCGGCACAGGAGGGAGGGGATGTTGCTTTCTATTGGCTTTCAGGGCGTGTGTTACGCAAAGCATGGGGTGACGTGTCGTTATTGGCTAGGTCGTCCGTGCACGCTTTCGGAATGTGTTGCACCTAGTATAGTGGGGGGGGGGGGGGGGGGGGGGGGGGAGGGGGGAGCTTACTCTCGTCTGTGCACGTCTGACACTCATGGCCGCATTTGTATGGGATGAGCCATTTCTTTGATCGAAGTCGATTACGATTTATATTACTTCATAAACAAAATTAATTAATAAATAATCAAATTAAAAATATGAAATTTAAGAGATCAATGGGTAATCCACACAAAGTGTATCCCGGAGGTCGAAAGTTCTTATCCTGGCTTATATTGTTATGTTATTTATTTGGCTGGCACAAATTTAAACGTTTCATCTCAAGTACAGAGAAAAGCACTACAAAAACGTATGTCATTTAACTTTTGAATGATACAAATCCTAAACTATTTGCTGAAAATCTATAAATCAAAAAAAAATAATACAATGATAATTATTTGTAACCAAATACGCTTAGCAGCTCGCTTGGCAACAGTCTTATGAAATGTACATAATTTACAGTTTCAACATTTATAAGCGCATACGAAGTATGTCCGAATTTTAATAAAAATTATTTCGCATATTTTGTAAGTGTTTAATAAGAATAATTACGTTGTATGATAATGAGTATGAATGTTCACCCTTGACAAGGTGTGAATAACGTCGGACGATGACGTTAAAATATCCTTTACGTAACTACGAATAGAACCTTTTGTCTTTATATTTTCCTTCTAGTATTAAACAGTTAAGACTGTATGTTATCGAAGGCATTGTAGTTTGTCACAGAAAGGATATGCTGAAGTTTTTTGGTCTATGAACTTGATGTAATTTACCCTTACCGGTACAGAGAGTTACATGAGAATTATATGTCGACTGACAAGTTACCGAATCAACTTATTGTGTAAAGTTAATTTATAATATTTTTTTGTGAAATACATTATGTTTTTGCATCATCAACTTCTATAATATAAAGATATTTCGTGTAACATAAAGGGAAGTAAAATCCAAACGTGGATATGAACTAATTTGCATTAAACAAAATAAAATAATTGTAATGAAACGTGAGAATGATAAATGTGGTTATTTGGAACACAGTACATGGAAAAAATAAGAAAGATTCTAGTTTAAAATTCGCTTCAGAGCTTCTTTTTTATTTCAATAAACGATTATACTCCCGAGTCTGAGCCTCCTGTGTAAATTTGGGCACTTATTAAAAAAATCTTCCTGTATATCTTATCAAACAAAGTGGCGGCGTATAGTAAACTGGCTCAGCGGGTGTGTTGGGAGAGTAGAGGTAGAGAAAAGAGAGTGGAGATAGAGAAAGGAGATTTGAGGAGGAGAGAGAGATACGCACTCTGAAGATTTGGCCCCTCCTCAGCGGCTGGCTGACGATGGCGATGCCATCCTTGTAGCCGGACGTGCGCACGGCGACCGTGTCTGCGAAATAGATCTACATATTTATATTATTTATAAAACCTTTTATTCATTTACTACGATTTTATTTATCGATACAATCGATGAATATACAAAGTGTTACGAAATATTACGTTTGTTTTATATATCAATAGCTTATCGCCCGCGGCTCCGCTCGCGTTGAAGCCCTTAAATTAATGATTTGTTTTGAAAACAATATTTATTTTTTTTAATAAATAGAAATCCTTTTTAATACCACTAAGAATATGTGTAGCAAAGTTGCATGATAATCGGTTCACGCCAAAACTACTCAAGTTTTGGCGTAAAAGTGTAACACACTTAACTTACGCTCACATTAATTATATATAATTAACATGCTATACTATATATAATTAATGCAACACGTGCTGGTATGGTATCACTGAGCCTAAGTAACGCAACACGTGTTGGTATGGTATCACTGAGCCTAAGTAACGCAACACGTGCTGTTATGGTAATACTGAGTTAACGTGTCGCGTTACCGACGCTCAGTAATACCGCACCAGCGCGTGTTGCGTTACCGACGCTCGGTAAACAACCGAGCGCCTTACCGGAGCTGCACAGCCGTATGTTCTCCCCGTGCACGTAGTGGAACGTGTAGGGGAGGGGGTGGCGGTACTTGTAGCGCGGCTGCGGCGTCCCCGCCGGCGACACCTCCCCCGGCTCCGTGTCCGACCCCTCCATGCTGGCCTCGGGCGCCTCGCCGCCGAACGGCCGCATCACCATCACCTCCCTGATGATCTCCGTCTCGTGCTTGATGAAGTCCGTGTTGTAGACTGCGGCGGGGCATGCAGATACGGGGGGGGGGGGGGGGGGGGGGGGTTAGGTTAACTTATTTGTTATATAAGAAATTCAAAAAAGTTTTTGAAGTGAAACTTCTTTATCGGGGTTGGAAAAAAATTTAGTGTAAAATTTTTCCGTTACGCGCCATTTTTTTTTATCTTAAAATGTTCCTCTAACGCCATCTAGTGTTGAATAGGGGGTTTTATGTCGTCTTTACTCTTTAGTGGTTTTAATAGTTGACGCTAGATGGCGTTAGTTCCTTCGTGTGTTCATAACAATATATATATGTTATATTAAAGTGATCAGCAAAATCAAAGGGTTTATTTTAATTGTAATTCGAAAATGTAAACAATATATTTCGTATTTCAGTTACCATAAGCCATTAATAACACAAATATATAATAACGACATCAATGATAGTAATAATTCTATTACAATTAATGAAATTCAATAATAATATTTGTAGTAATGACAGTGCTAGCTCTAATACTTCAGAGCACGAATGCTCTTCGAAGCCTCGATCGGCTTCCTGGAACTTGCGGTTGCGCCGTCGATCCAACGTCCGCAAGTTCCGTTTTCCAAAAAAACTTCACTCACAACACTCGCGCGCGAGTCGAATGTCTGCCTTCTACTCACTGGCTGACTATTCGGCAACGAAGGACCATGTACAAATTCAAAGTGGTTGTGTTTTGGATCCGTGAGATTAATTGAAATAAACAAGGTTCACGTTGCAAGTTTTTTAATCAACAATTTTTGTGGACCCTCATACTAATTACAACGGTCAAACCACAGTGTGTTTTAATTTATTACTAACGCCACCTCTGTATTACAAATAAGAAACTAAATATTATACAAAGCTAAAATGAAATAATTGTAGAATTTGTATTTATGTCTATGATAATAAAAGCCTTTTATTAAACTTTATCTAATTTAACTTTATTTAACCAATTTCTGTAAAGTTGCATATAGTAAATTATTTTTTGAAAAATAATGTCATAAAAAAGTTTCACTTCTTACGAGTGTACGCTAGTACACGCACACATTTTTTTTTATAGTGCTAATCTCTGCACTTAAGATTGAACATTAAAACATGTAGAAAAAGTACGAAAAGACTGTCGCCGAAAGTGGGAATCGAACCCACGCCCTCGGCATTCGCGGCCTGACGCTGTAGCCACTGAGCTAAACGGCTGATAGCCACAGCGACGAAATCTTAACGCCTTCTTTTCTACATCGTTATTTTGCATTTGAAGCAATGCTTGGCGCATCTATAATAATTTTTTTTTCTACATATTACATTGACACTTCATACATTTGAACTCCTTTGATGTGTTTGGGAAATATTTATCATTTCATTCAAACGAAAATGAAACGAGCAGAAAAATAGATATAATTTAATAATCTTTTTGAAAAAATAACGTTAAATAAAAATCTTTTTTTAAATTATTTACGAACTCAGCATTAGCAACATCTTTTTATTTAGATGTATAAACATTAACTCTTAAATTATACTTACATAGATAAAACAAATATACACCAATATAATCTTTACAGTACTCACAAACCTGCCGATGGATTGACTTTATATTTGGTCACAAAATAGTTAAGAAACTGGAAAATGTTTTTATACAGGGTGGCTTATCTAAAGGTGTCCAAATTCACACAGGAGGTTCAAACTCGTTAGTATAATCGTTTAATGAAATAAAATCAAACTGTTTTTCCAAAAAAAAAATTGCCATTCTATTCCCGAAAAAAAAAAGAACTTGTTGACAATGCGGTACTTAGTCATTCACAAATGCGTCGTATACTTTTGAAACGAACTTGTCTGCGTGTTATTTATGAATGATCGCGCTTAAAATAAATGAATTGCGTATATATCACACATTTTTGAGATAAATTCAAATAATTATAAGTGATTTTAAATATTTACAATATTTCATATAAATTTTTTTATGTCTAGAATTTAATAAAAAAAAAAATGGATACACAGAAAAGCCCACCTGTTAAAAAAGGTGTCAACAACGCATCTGCAAGCCAACGGTCGTTGCAAATGTTAATGATAAAAAAGGCGGCGGTTATCACTTAACATGAGGTGAGCCGCCAGCTCGCTTGGAGCCCTCTCACATGAAACGTACATAATCTTCAACGGGGTCAATTAATCGGCTTACGGGTTTGGGGCATCGCGCCGGCCGCCGCCTTCGGCACCGCCCGGATCTTCAGCGCCTCCCCGTAGAGCTCCATCACCACGTACACCTTCTGAAAAAAAAAAAGGGAGAAGTCTCTTCGAAACGAAACCATCAGTATTGTAACAAATGTCGCATTGGCTGTATTGGTGTATTAAGGTAGCAAGCATAATATAAAAGTCCACAGAAATAAAGTTGCGATTGGATTAACAGGACAAGGCCGGAACTAAAAAAGGGTGCGGACATCATCATTTCGGCCTGTTCGAGTCCACTGCTGAACATTGGCCTCTTGAGCCAACTGCGGCCATCGACTTCCCGCACACTTGCACAGGTCGTCACCCCATCTAGTGTCGATAAGCAATACACCATAGAGGCTACAGGAATAGTGGTCAGAAACCTTAATGATAATAACACTTTATTTGTAAGAAAACACGGTTGCACAATGCGACGTGATGTATCGCATGTTTTTGCGGGCATACGCTCAAGGCGAGCGTATTATAGGGCTATGTTCTTAGCGCCTAGATTAATAAATAATAAGTTGAGAAATTACAGAAGAAGGAAGAGGTGAAAAAAAAAAAAGCGTGTGCGTACTTATGTACACGCGTTAGAAGTCACAATCTTTTCATAATTTTATCTTTGGCGCCTTATAAAAATCTTTTCCAGAAGAATCTTCACTATTCTAAATACAGTTGTCAGTTCTCACGCGAATATACGTAGATGTCTAGCTAGTGCAAAGTGTCGGTTTTTCGTGACGGCGCGCGCGCGCGTCCTTAAAATTCACTCTCATCATTTTTCCCTAACGCGCCGAAAGAAGAATAACTTAATAAAACCGTTTAAAAACTTTTAAGTTAAACGGTTTCTATTTTATGTGCACTGAAAACTACAATATTGTACTGTCATCTAAATTAAATGTGTTTACCAAATTTCCGATCAACCTGACAACGGGAAGTTGTTTAAATTTCAATTTCTAACTTTGACCCAAATAAATAGACAAACAAATTCCGTACGGGTCGAGCTAAATAAAACCGTTTAATAATAATATATCGATCAGCTAACGTGGTATTAAAAACATAAAATATCCAAGGAAATGTTACGTCATAACCGCCCCCCGTGGACACAGTAGCGTAGGGTTGCCACCGCGGCATACTCACATCGGGCACTCGCTCGAAGGCGACGTCCATCAGCTCGAAGTTGTAGTAGACCAGCACGCGCTGCTCCGTGGTCTTCATCAGGCCGATCCGGTCGCCGGGAGTGAGGTATTCGAAGGTGGGCACGACGGATTTCAACTCGTGGCCGCGCGCGCTCGCCCTGGAGTAGCGCATGTACCTGCCTGCAGACACGAGGGGCCGGTTTAGCGGTGAGGTTGGACGCGAACGAGGTCCGGAACAACGGACAGAAAGACGGATATACATAAAAATATGTATATAAATTATGTCCTATTCTGATGTATAAGCTATATTATTGTAAAGTTTCATTGAAATCCATTCAGTATAGTATTTGCGTGAAAGAGAACTTATTGTTACACAGTTGCCATCATTCTGGAAGTGTATAAATAAAAATGGAACTTTGTACTTAAGATCCGCGTCTTTTATGAGTTGGTTAATTATTATTCGCAAGAGTAAAGTTCGCTACGTGTACACGAGTGTAGGGATGTCGAAAAAATATCGATATAACGATATTTTCAACCGATACATTTTGATCAGATATATCGATATAAAATATTCAATATCGAAATCGTATCAAAAACGATACTTTTTTGCAAATTTCAATCCGGGACATAGTACGTACATTCAAATATTTAATGCTTGGCATACGGTTTTTTTGGACGACAGAGTATCGACAAATCGGCATTTTCTCTTTGATATATCGGGGCGTATATCGATACTTTTACAAATATCGATATATTTATTCACTTTCGGCCAGGGCCGTATTAAGGAGAGGGCAACCGGGGCTGCAGCCCCACGGCCTCCTCAAAAGATAGACACCGCACAAAATTTTTATGTGAGAAAGCGACAAGCGACGTTTGCCCAGGGGCCTCCGGACCTCTAAATCCGGCCCCGCTTTCGGCACCCCTAGACGTGTGCACGCATACCTTTTACTGCTGCTGATTTTATACCCAAAATAAGTGTGTATAATTGCACAAAATATATATGTATACAACAACATGAACAAGACCGCAGAGTTTCTTGCCGGTTCTTCTCTGTGCAGGTCTACTTTGGTGAACCGGTGGTGGATTTTCTGTTGACGTTCAATGAGAGCCAAGTTAGGCCTATATTGAATAAATATACTTTGCCTCCGGTGTTGTACTTGCCGTCTATGTAGGCCGTGTAGTGGGGCAGGTGGGCCACGGAGGGCGGCAGGCAGCGGTTCACGTGGGCGTTCAAAATGTTCACGTCGGTGACGCCCATGCGGAACCCGCCCGCGTAACCGCCCTTTGTGTCCAATATCTCGATCTGCCGACACAATTACGACACACTATTACATATATATACAGCGTGTCGTTACCATCGCGACAATAAATGAACACACGTCTAACGCTACGCGCCAATAATCAAAAAAAAAATGTTAACGTTTAACAAAATCCATAATTAAGAAAAAATATTTTTCAAACAATCTAATTAAGTAAAAAAGAAACAAAATTTGTAACATTCTATACAACGAGCGTCGCATTACAAGCCTCTACCAGTATGTTTTGTCTCTTTTAAATTCATTCAACCCCTTCATATGCTTTGTGACCATTACAAATGAACTTTACGTTACACTTCTATACGTAAGGGTGTTCTAAAATTCTTTGTTTTGGAAAATTTAATAACTCGGTAAATATTGATGTTTAAAGAATGTAAATGTTTAATACAATTTTTAAAGTTATCCTCTGTATGTGTGTACATTTATTGTCACGATGGTAACGACACGCTGTATATATATATAGTACTAGTTTTTCACTCGCGGCTTCGCTCGCGTTGAAGCCCTTAAGTAAATACCTTTCAACCATATACAACACACTTTTTTTACACTTAAGAAATAGCCTTTGACCTTGAAATGACCTTTCTCAGGCTCTAGACTATCTGTGTAGCAAATTTCATTTAACATTTAAATCGGTTCAGTAGTTTTGGAGTGAAAGCGAAACAGACAGACAGAGTTACTTTCGCGTTTATAATATTAGTGTGGATTACCGAATCCAAACTTCCCAGGGCCGGGAACTGGCATGGCTTTATAACAAAAAGGAAGAGAAAGGTGACGCGGGGGCTACAGTTCAATTATAATTGGCGTAGTTTTATAATTTACTTAACGATAAATTGATGGGAATAATTTTGCCAGAAGTTGTTATTTGAGTTTTGTAAAATATATTTTAGGATACATTTGCGTGATTTCTTTTCAAACAACCCAAATTCAGTTTCGTTTCATAACAACAGATATTCAACCGACTTTGAAAAAGGAGAAGGCTTTTCGACGGGTTTTTTATGTTTCTTGCCTCATAACATTTGACTCAGCGAACCATTTTATTAATGAAAAACAAAACCGACTTCAAATATCTCGCTCTGTACTCACTTTATAATTGATTTGTTCTCCAAAGTATCGCCGATAGAGTAGTTGATTTCGGTCAACTGTGATAGTCACTATCATATCACTATCATATATCACGGATCGATTCGACGCAGCGACGTTTAACGATTAATATTATAACGCTTTACACAAATAAAAAATTAATAAAACTGTACAAAAGGAAAAGGGCTGATGTTAAAATGATTTTTTTTTAATATTCACGATGAGCCCGAAAGGATACGGATATTGGTCGGCGATGAACCGCCCAAGGGCACTGACCTCGAAGATCTCGTCGAGCTCCAGGTGGGCCGAGCTGAAGAGCAACGCCTCCATCGGGTCGGCGGTGAGACGGCGCGCGACGGTGAAGCCGAGCTGGACTTTCGCGTTCTCACCGCAGTACTCCGAGAAGCTGCTGCATTGGCCAACAGGGGGCGGTGAGGGGGGAGGGGGGGGGGGGGGCGAGACTTGGACGGCGGGGGGCGGGGGTAGCGGGTTCGATGCTGCTTCCGGGCGTCGGTGTTTGTATGGGAAAACGTTATCCCAAAGTGAGGGCAATGGTTTCTTTAAAGACGCGACCAGCTCCAAAGCCCCACCACTCCGTAACGATTTTTACACCAATTAATATTCTAACACTTATGGGTTACACCCATTAGGCAGTGGCGTAAGGCCTCGTTTGATGAATTGATGACTTGTCGCGGGTTCGATTCCCGCATTGGACAACTATTTGTGTGACCCACAGATGATTGTTTCGGACTTCGGTGTCTATCCACTTGAGATTTGCTAATGTGAAAACGTTCACACAACACGGCAACCCTTCGAAGGGAGGTCTACAATAGATTCTCTAAGTAGTTGGGGGGCTCGAGAGAGCTGCCTTACTAATGGGAGATGAACCAGTGGCCCTACCTCCACAAACTCCAACCTTTTACAACCCACTTTTGATTATAGTTTATATGAATGACCGCAGGCTCCAAAATACGAAAAAAAAAAAAAACTAAAAAAAAACAAAGTTCCAGAATGCAAAAAAAAAAAAATGTCGTTGAAAACCGGATGACTCGTATGACTATAATCGCAGGTTCCAAATTTAAAAAAAAAAGAAAAGGATCGCGATCCTCCGCGCCGTGAATGCGGCCGCGACAACCCTACCAGTAGGGCTGCGGCGGGATCGCTGCGGCGCGCGAGTGCCCCGCCAGCGAGTTGTCCGCGTTCGCGCAGCCGTTGTAGTTGAAGGTTCGCTCCTCGTTTTGCAGTATCGTCACCTGGAAGCGCATCGCACCGTTACGCGTGACGTGAGTACGAACAGGCCGGCAACGCATCTGTGAGCCCTCTCACTTACCATCAGGCGAGCCCCCTGCTCGTTTGCCCCTTTTCTCCATAAAAAAAAAAGTTTCTAAGCAATTTGCACAAGCCACTCTAATGGCAAGGGCCTATTATAATGTCCATGAATACATTGAGGGCAAGGGTGTGTGGAAATGACTCTTGCCCTGTGCACGTGCAAGATTTTATACCTAAATAGTTTGTATAAAAAAAAACAAAAAGTAAAAGTAAAGTAACAGCCTATACATGTCCCACTGCTGGGCAAAGGCCTCCTCTGTACAAAGGGTATCAGGGCATAGTACACCACGCGGCCCCACTGCGGATTGGCGGACTTCACATATCTTCGAAATATTTTTTTTGTTATTATTTCGAAAATATGCAGGTTTCCTCACGATGTTTTCCTTCACCGCTGAGCACGTGATAATTCAGCACTTAAAATTGACAATTTCATTGGTGCCGGCACCGGGGATCGAACTATAGTATATGGAATTAAAGACGAGCGCCCGGACACTGAGCTATCACCCTCTAGTTTCCCATCGATTCTTCTCTGTTCAGGTCTAATTTAGTGGCCCGGTGCTAATTTTTTTTTAGAAGTTCAATAAGAGCTTAAATTAAGCCTATATTGAATAAAGACATTTTGTGACATGTACGTTCATGCTTATAAAGAATTTAGTTAGCTATAGTTTTTTTTTCCCTATTAGCATCTATCGGAAATGTTTCTTCTTTTTATTATTTTTATATATATTTTTCTATTTTAACAGACTACAAAAAAGGAAGATGATTCTCAATCCGACCGTAGGTATATATATATATTTTTTTTTTATGTGTGTTCGTCGATAACTTCGTCGTTTATCAACCGATTTTGATGATTCTTTTTATGTCGGAAAGGGGATATCCCAATGGTGGTACCATGATAAGGAAACCCGTATCTGATGATGGCATCCCAGAGAAATCAAGGTCCATCATTGAATGCTTTTAATTTTCTGATTGTTATTATTATAATATTTTCATTACTTTTTTTTTTTAAATAAATGTTCTAACAAACTTCACACTTTGTCGTGTGCACTAAACTGTGGCACAGCCGGTTTATGGTTGCGGTAATCGTTTAGCACAAGGGGCTCGCTTTCTAAATGGTATTAATTAAATTGCCAAAGAAGTATAACTTGTTAAGTCCGTACATAAGTAATTAATTTTTATTTAGCGGCAAAGGGCTATTCGTCAATTTTCCCACAAACTTCGAACCACCTTGAAGGCCGGCAACGCAATTGCGAGACTGACGCTCGGTTTCTGAAACACCGATCATCGTAGGTGTCAGCTCTCTGAATTGATCAAAGCAATCTTAATGATCGGAATGAGCAATTCAGAGAGTTTAAGAATCCTTTTGACAATAAAAATGAAATTTGAAAAGCCATTTGACACCTGACTAGTTGACATCTAAGACCATCGGTGTTTCAGACGGAGACAGGGCATTGACCTATGTTGCAAATGTCCATGGGCGGCGGTGATGTATTACCATCAGGCGAACCGCTTGTATAGTTTTTCCATTAAAAAAAAAACCGGTACCGTAGTAAAATCTCCCCCCAGCTTTATGAATCGGTGGCGCAGTTGCCAAGGTATCGGCTTAGGCGTCAGGGGTCGCGGGTTCGATTCCCACACGGGACAACTATTTGTGCGACCAACAGATTGTTTCGCATCTGGGTGTTGCCCGCGTGAGGATTTTGTTTGTACAATGTCCTTGCAGCACGGGATAATGTTATCCTGAAGTGAGGGCAATGTTTTAAAAAAAAAGAGAGAAAAGAGAAAGAAAGAAAGAGACGCACTAACCTGCGTGCACTGCCCGTAGAGGTCGACCACCGCGTATATGTTCAGGTGGGGCACGTACCACGCCTTGCCCATGTCCAGGCCGTCCAGATAGTAGTGGAGGCTGCGGTCCGCGTGCCACATCATGCCTGTCATTAAACGGTCGGCTTGAGGTTTCATAGGACGACTAGATAAGTATCATAGTTACGACGTAATCATACTATAGTACGGCACTAGCGTGAATATCGTCGATACAACGTCCGTTTGTATAATTTTGTTTAACAAAACAGGAAACTAGAAACTTTTCAACAAAAAATCAATCATAAACGACGAAGTTATCCGAACACATAAGAAACCTCCTTCTTTTTTTGAAGTCGGTTAAAAATACCGACCATGCGCGAGGCATACTCGCGAACGAATGGTTACGTACCGTAATGTTGCATTTGCAACACCCAGTGCAGTAACAACAACCGCCACCCATGGACATTGCGAACTTGATGCTTGGTGAACCGCCACGTTTTGCCACGTTTTGCCACGTTTTGCCACATAGAACGATGACGATGAAGACATGTTGAACACATCGCTGCCGCCTCACCCACTCTGCTGCCGACCGTGAGGGTGTCCAGGTCAAGGGGGTAGCCGCTGCGGACGCACTCGCCGTCCTTCATGATCGCCGCGCCGCTCAGTATGTACGTGTCCCAGCTGAGGTCGGTGGCGGTGCCGGCCAGGGCGCCAACGCCGCCGCTCGCCTCCAGGTCCTCGGGCCGGATGGCCGTCACACCTGCAACGTCCAGGCGTCAGCCGGTTGCTAGACGGTGAACAGCTGGGATAGCGGTGCTAGTGCGACCGCTTTTACAACTGTTCCGTTTAAGGATCTGTAAATATATCTGATAGCTTTGAACGAGCAATTCTTGTATGCAAATGTATCAGCCTATACATTTCATACTGGACATAGGCCTCCTCTGTACAGATGGTATTAGGTCATAGTCCGCCACGCGGCCCCACTGCGGATTGGCGGACATCGCATATTTTCAAAATATTTCTTTAGGACTATTATTTAGAGACTATACAGGTAGATTTCCTTCCTCGCTGAGTAAGTCAGAGCTAAAATTAACAATTTTAACTTTGCTGAGCTATCACAGCTCTAGGGGTTCGGTGCAGATGTGTTATGCGTGTTATGAGACGATCATCTCGGTTCGGAGAAAGGATAGTGGGCGCTGAGCAACTGACCATCTCGATGTTTTACATACTACTCTCTTCGCCTATTTAATCGCAAAGTGGGAGGGAGAAGGCAGAAGACAGGGGGAGGAATAGTAGGTGCCAAACTTCTCTTCGCCTACTCTTTGTAGTGACTGGCGTGCAAATTACGAGGGAGGTGGCACAAGAGGGAGTCGGCGGGGGGACTGGAATAAAAGGGAGGGTGAAGGCGGGTGAGAGGGGTCTGGGGGGGTGAGGGGGTTAACAAGTGTCAATCGCTTGTGCTTGTGGCTCACCCATCTCGATGCTGCCGATCCAGCAATCCACCAGGCAGTCGATGCGCAGCTCGAACATGTCGCACTCGCGCATCGGCCTCGAGCTGAACAGAACCGCGTCGTTGAACTCCGAGTATATGGTGACCCGGGAGGCGGTCAGCCGCGAGCGGCTGAGGCGCGCGTTGCGCCCGTGCACGCGGTGGAAGCACATGCCGCCGCTGCGAACAACCCAAGGGGGAGGAGGGGGGAGGAGGAGGAGGGGGGGGGGGGGGGGGTGTTAAAAGCGATTACGTCACTGGTGACGCTCGAAGGTGTCCGCATCCCGCTAAAGAGGGGGGGGGGGGACGGACTTATGAGCTTACGGTCGAGCCACAGACATGTACAGATGGGGGAGTGGGGGGGCAGGGGGCGCGATTACGTCACGTAAGGCTCAAGGTCACGTACGACATCCCGCTTGGTGGATGAGCTTGCATCGTAAAACGCACAAGTATAACACTTCGCGCCAATCATCTGTGTGTGTTCGTGTTTACTACCCGGACGAACGTGCCCCATAAATTCAATCCGAATTCCAGCCACCAATGAGAAAAACTACAATCGTACGAGCTAGTTTCGACTATCTGCAATCGATATATATATACCTCTACACATTACAACCATTGAAAGTCTCTGATTATTGATTTCTTGATTTTACGCGAATATTATCCCTACATATTAAATGAAACTAGTTTGTCGCGTTCAAATTCTCCTTTTAAATTCCCATCGTTCTCCCCCAGACACTCTAGCCCGTGACTATCAACGCTGGAAGAGCTTTCAAACGTCGGGAATTAAAACTCAAAATTAAACCGCAAACTAGTTTCAATTAGATAATTATCCGTAGTTAACTAGTTTCATTTAACAATTCTCCGTAGTAAACTAGTTTCATTTAAAAATCTCCATAATAAACTAGTTTCATTTAACAATTCTCCGTAGTAAACTAGTTTCATTTAAAAATCTCCATAATAAACTAGTTTCATTTTACAATTCTCCGTAGTAAACTAGTTTCATTTAATAATTCTCCGATTGAGAACATTTCAATGGTGACAGAACTCACGGGATTGGTGCTATTATGGAGTCGGTGGATAGTGGCGACTCTGGCAAGGAGTCGGGGGGAGGGGTGTATGTGTCCACGATGGTCGCCTGTGCCACTCTCCCGTATAGGTCTGTAAAATTAACAAGTGTGCGTGTCGATAAAATTAATCAATAATAAACAAACAAACGTAAGGGAACGGAAATCTTAAGATAATAAAATTCTTCGCTCTCGTCAAGTCTCTTTATAAAGGGAATGGTTTAAAACACTTAAATGCCACGAGTTAGCGGTTTTTTTTTAAGTTACACTTCTTTTGGCGCGTTTGGAAAAATTATGAGTGGAAAATTTCTAAGATGCGCGCAACAGACAGCCAAAAAGATCTTGGCAACCAATGACAACTTTTGACATTTACCAATAATTCCAAGATATTTAAATAAACTGTTATCGATTGCGTTTAATGTCATCACGCTAAAGAAGTATAACTTCTGAAGGACGTACATAAGTATAAACGTTTTTTTTTAAATAACACCATTGGTCACCTTTTAATTCCCTTTCCAAATGCATCCCCAGTTCGGAACACGGTTAGTGTCGCGAGGGCTTAAGATACACGAAATCAATTTTGGACATAGTCGTCAAATCGACCCTGTCTCTTACGCTAGAGGAAAAATATTGTATGATGAACATAGTGATTTTCCAGTGTCTGGGTGTTTGAATATTTATAATAATTGTTTTTTTTTTAATTGGTTTTTTTTTTTTTTTTTTTTCAAAACATTGCCCTTACTTTAGGATAACATTATCCTGTTGTAGGAACGTTTTACAAACATAAATTTCACGCGGACAAACACCCAGATGCGAAACAACTACCTGTGGGTCACACAAATAGTTGTCCGTGTGGGAATCGAACCCACGACCCCCGACGCCGAAGCCAATACCTTGGCAACTGTGCCACGGAGTCAGTAATTATGCATTTGTTTACAAAAGAAAAGTACGTATAATATATTTCAGTATGTTTATCAGTCACCCAGTACCCATAGTTTGAGTGTTGCTTAGTTTGGGACTAGAGAACGTTGTGTATAAATGTGTTCGATAATATTTTATTTATTTATTTGTTATTTAAATAAAAAAAAAAAACTTTTGTCAACAACGACTTTACTGGCCTCACCATACCAATCCCTTAAGCCATTATTATAACCATAATCATATATATACAGGATGATTTTATACACGACGGAGCTATTAACAGAACATATGCAGAGTTTGATTCTAAATCTGAATCTGTTATAATTTCTAATTTTTGCAAACATTATGAATTCCTGCATCCCCGTGCCTATTAGAAATTCCTGCCTTCCCGTCTCAATACAAGGGATAAACAAATAATGTTTGAATTGATATTTTCCTGGTTATTTCTTGTTTAAATTAAATATTAATATTTTTTTTTGAATTATGGAATGCTCAATTAACATTATGCCAAAGTATGTCTTGGAGGATGAGGATCGTGACTCTTATTAAATCGGCCAACGAGCTGTCTCCATTGATTTCGCTCCGTCGCCTGGTGGAGAGCGGCACTTATGGGGACTTCCAGCTTTTTTGAAATTTGATCCGCCCACCTTTTAGGAGTACGGCCTCTAGATATTTTACCCTCCATTTTTCACGTCACTATCAAACGCTCAAGGTTAAGTATGTACCTTCCTCTAAAATATCACGCCGTATATTACCATCCCTTCGTCAGGGAAGGCGAGTGAATCATTTGGATAATAAACAATAATAATAAATAATAAATACTTTAGGACACATTTTTACACAAAATTCTCTAGTCCCAAACTAAGCGAAGCTTGTACTATGGGTACTAGAAAACTGATAAACATACTTAAACATAATTTTCTTTTGTAAATAAATACATATTATACATATATTAACACCCAGACACTAGAAAAATACTATGTTCATCCCACAATATTTACCCAGTAGTGGGGATTGAGCCCACACCCTCTGGCGCAGGAGGCAGGTACACTACCCACAACGCCATTCGGGTCGTCTATACACCGAAGACGTTGATACTAACCGACTATACCGAAGACGTTGTCCGGTATGTTGAAGGCGGCCGGGCCCTGGTCTATGCCGTTGACGAAGAAGTGCAAAATGCCAATTTCTTTCCTCATCACTCCCACCGTGTCCCCCTCCTGCGAATCGGCAATTGGTTGAAAGTTCACGCCGGCATTAGTTTTATGTGAGAATCCTTTTAATAAAATGTGCTCCCGGTACCTCACTCGGCAGACGAAACGCTGAAGTGTTACACACTTCAGGCCGGTCTGGTGTGTGGTCGTGGCACTTGCCCATACGGACCTGCCCATTATGAAAGACTGTTGCGTGGCCATACCACTATTTGTATGAATTTTGTGCTTGGAGTGTTGAAAACTTCCAACTACCACTGTGACATACAATATCTATTTTAGTCTTCCATTGGATAACATTGACCCCGACTGTGGTATAACATTGTCCCGTGTTGTAAGCACGTTTTACGTATAAAAATTTCACGTGAACAAACACCCAGAGGCGAAACAATCGTCTGTGGGTCGCACAAACAGTTGTCCCGTGTGGGAATCGAACCCACGACCCCCGACGCGGAAGCCGATACCTTGGCAGCTGCGCTACGAAATCAAACACGTTGACTGTTTTTTTTAACTAGTTTTTTTGCGTGGCTCTAGGAGTCCCCAGCAGTGGGACCTAAATATATAGGCGGGGTGTACGTACTGAATAATTTTCGGTGACGGGAATCTGAATCTTTGTGTCAGAGGGCCAAACTCACTTCAAGCATGCCAATGACCCACGAGCGAGAGACGGAAAGGCGGGGGGGGGGGGGGGGGGGGGGGGAGGAGGAGAAAGAGAGGAAAGAGGGGGAAAGAGACGAGATGGGGCAGATCGAGATATCTCCGCGTTTACTATAGAGGAGAGTCCAACTCACCGTTAGACGGTTGAGACTCCTCGCGTATTGCGGGATGATTATCACGCCGTCCCTTACTACGTCTTCGCCGGTGAGGGCCCATGTGCCGGATCTAAATTGGAAAGAAATTACACAAACACTATATAAAAAACATTTCAAAAAACGAAATCACTGAATTCTTTTAAAAATTCACTACTTCTTTTTAACTTTCGGCGGGTTGTACACCGGCTGTCTAACTGTATTGGGAAAGTAAAGCCAATTAATAGAAGATCTAGGCTCTGTCTTGGCTTTCACCCAACCCTACGGAAGAGAAAGGATTGTAAGTAAGGAGTAAATAAAAAATATTGACGTCATTACTGTGGTAGGGTCACGCAGCAGCCTCGGCTGTTGCACGAACGGGCAGGCTCGTCCGGGTAAGTACCAGGACCTCACAGAAGACCAGCGTAAAGTGGAAGTATAATACTTTCGCATTTCGTCTGGTCAGAGGTGGCCGGAGCACAATTTTCAAAAGGTTGTCAACGCATCTGCAACCATCGGGTGTTGTAGATGTCCACGGGCGGCGGTATTCACTTAACATCAGGTGAACCGCCTGTTCGTTTGGCAACTTTTCGCATAAAAAAAAATCATATACAAACATTTTAAACGTGTTACTGTTGGTACAGAGGCCGTATCTTTAATTTTGAGGACCTTTAATTAAAATTACTCCAATAGTGATAAAAATAGTAGGCTATTTTCTAACTATCACATTGTATTCAGTAATTTTCATGTTTGTATTGAAGTGATACACTCGATGATAAATTATAACTGTTAATACTACGTCCAAAGAAGTTTTATGAATCGAAGGAGTTTGAAGGAAATATTGAAACGGATGAACGATATTGTACAAACGGGCAGGTCCGTCCGGGTAAGTACCGCGACCTCTCAGAAGACCGGAAGTTTTATTCTTCTGCGTTTCGTCCGTTGCGTTGGGTAGCCGGGGCCCACTTTATTAATAGGCGGTAACGCATTTGAAATCGTACGGCTGTTGCAAATGTGCAAGGGCGGCAGCTCGTTTGCATAAAAAAAAGAAAATGTGCATGGAGTCCCTCCGCGGGGAAGAAGTGAAACTTCGTAATGTGGAAATGAAAATAGGAAGAAATTGATTATTAGTGAAATCATATTGTTTCTTTAAGACAAAGTTCAGTAATAATAACAAATTAATTAAATTAATTTTAATAATTGGCCTGCAACAGGTAAACTACGCGCATGCGTTCGAGCGCCACGCATTCACTGTCGCTCTGTCTCTTTCCATTCCCCCTGCCCAGGAGCGTTGAAATTTTAACGCAACAGCGCCCTCATACCCCCTCCGTGGCAGCGTTGAACGTTTAACGCAACCTTGCTGGAAGTCGCATAGGAAGTTTCACTTCAATAGAAGAGGCGGCACTCACTTGGCGTTGCTCAATTTAAACGGGAACTGTATCTCGTTGGATGTGTGGCGCGTGACTCCGATCTCGATACTCCCGGCCCACTTGGGCACGACGAGGTCCACCCTGACCTGGAACAGCTCGTTGGTCCTCAGCGTACGGTTCGTCATCACGATCCCGTTGTTGAAGAATTGGAAAGCGCTGCAACCGGTCAGGCGGCGTTATAAGAATGACCGAATTAATGTATGAATGAATGGATGAGTGAGTGAATGAGTGAAGCGTCCGATCATTCTATTGCACGACGCTGTCTAGTCCCGGACTAGGCAAGGCCGTACTGTGGGTACAGGGTGCCTGATGATCATAACTTATTTATTGCACTAACTGGTACAAACGGCGGGTTTAATGCCATAAGGCATTTTCTACCAGCCGACCGGATGTTAGTGAGAGAGAAGTGTAGGCGCTAGCTATATATAAGGTAAATATTTTACATAACTTATCACGCTCGAGCAATCCTACTGGCGAACAATTATGGACAGACAGACGAGAGGCAAATACTTTGGTCAGCACACACATTCCTCCCTGTGATGGGGATCGTTCCCATAACGTCTCGCGCAAGAGTCAGCTGCACTTACCACTACGCTATCATCGAATTTACAAAGGCGTAGTGAGCCTTTAGGCAATCTTGAGCCACGTTTAAGGTAGAAGCTAGCGGGGACTTTCTAAACTAAATTCTATGTCCGATGAAGCATTATAGGTTAGGATTTTACAAGACCTCTATGTCCGATGTACGATAAGCTATATCTTAGGATGATAGCGCAGACCAGGGTCGTCGATTCGATTCCCGCACGATTCATAGCCAATTGCTACGGATGTTGGTGTTAGCCCTATTTTTATTTCTATTAAAACATTACTTTTCACTCAATTAATTATGTATTTTTGTGTTTTTTTTAAAACATCGCCCATACTTTGGGATAACATTATCCTGTGTCGTAAGGACGTTGTTACAAACATAAATTTCACGCGGACAAACACCCAGATGCGAAATAATCATCTGTGGATCACACAAATAGTTGTCCCGTGCGGGAATCGAACCCGCGACCCCCGACGCCGAAGCCGATACCTTGGCGACTGCGCCGCGGAGTCATCATTATGTTATTCATCAATTATGTTACTGATTGAAAGAAATGAATAATCAAGAAAAGCATACGGTAAAATAATATTTTACTGTATGCTATAATATATTTTTTTAAAGAGCCGTGATAGCTCATTGTCCGGGCGCTCGCCTTTAGTTCAATATACTCGAGCAACCTGAGTTCGATCCCCGGTGCCGGCACCAATGAAGTTTTTAACTTTAAGTGCTGACTTATCACGTGCTTCGCGGTGAAGGAAAACATCGCGAGGAAACCTGCATATTTTCGAAATAATAACAAAAAAAATATATATTTCGAAGATATGTGAAGTCCGTCAATCCGCAGTGGGGCCGCGTGGTGGACTATGCCCTTTATACAGTCTTTTATAACGTTCTGTAGTCCTTATTCAAATGTTTTTATACATTTTGGCGCATCCAAGCTATTTATGGCAGCCCTGCAATGTGGCGGAATAGTTAGCATATATATATATATAAATAAAATTATATACTCACTTAGGCCTATGAGCAGTCTTACCATCGCCAATAACAATAACATTCGAATCACGCACCGTATGAAATAAAAGGCTATCCTCGTCTATAGTCGGTGCCAGCTGACCTGCGGGAAAATTTCAATCTTATCGACCACAGCATAAGACTCGTTTTAGAAAATAACACTTATATTATTTAATATCAATAGTAAGCGATTTCTTTGCGCTTTGATCCCTTCTAGATGTGATGAGATCTAGATCTAGGGATTCTACATTACTTGAGGTGATTCAGTTAGTTATGTAGTAAAAGTTTAAAATCAAGTCGAAAATTATATACGAAACTTCACTTTACCTTTTTTTTTTTGACAATTAAAAAGCGTATATATATAGAGAAAATTATGCAGTCATGTCAGATTGAAAAGTCTAAATATATTAATGAACATTAGAGTAATTTGGATTAGATTGTTGGTAATTAAAATTAATTAACATAAGTAGTTACTTATTGACACTATTGTGAAGTTACTACTACTATTGTGAAGTTTCACAATAGTAGGAAATTCACAATAACTGACTGTGCGAGTGAAATGTTAAGGATTTAACTCATTTAATTAGTATTAATAAAAGTTTGCTAATTGAAGGGCTATTATAGTATAAATGAATACATTTTTGATAATAACCGCTGAGAACGAGTTGATCGCTCTCAAGCTATATTGAAAAAAAAAAAAAAAACAATATGTTTAGTACTTTAATGTGTTGTTAATATTTTAGAAGAAAAAAAATTACAAAATAAGACGATGGTTAAATGAAAATATTTTTATGGAGTTTATCGCGTTTATCATGAAATAACTCAGTCTGTCTAGTGACCATTAATGCTGTAAAGGGTCCGAAGCCTAGGGAATTTGAAAATCTAATTGAACACTATAAATTCCGTAGGACAGTTTCATGTGATACAGTCTAGTTACAGACATACATCGGTAAGTCCTAGTAATAGGGTCATTCACCCTTGCGTACGGAACCCTAAAAATTACTGTCGACAGACGAAATGTACGTTTCTCAAATCAACGAATAAGTCGTTCGATTCGATTAGAGGTCGCAGTTTTGTTTGTTAACGGCCCTAACTGCCACCAGGTCTATGGCGCACTTGAGGCTTCAAGTTGAGAGGGGGCTGTCGCTTACATAGCCCGGCCAGCACCGACACGCTGGGGAGAGGCGGCAACTCGTTCATGTTGCTCTCCATGTCCTCGTACGGGTCCACGATGGTCACCTGAAACGAGACCGAAAAGGGTCAGCCACGTGATTGACCTCAGCCTAGTCTGATAGTCCAATTGCGCCGCAGACCTCAGTCTAGTTCTCCGTATGATAGTGTTATTTCGCTGCAATGCAGCTAGGTCTAACTTAGGACACAATGCTCGTATTAATAGATTAATTAAATCCTTCAACTTATTAAATAAGGAAACAGAAATGGATATCTTTCACAACAATATACAGCGTGTCGTTACCATCGCGATAATAAATGAACACACGTCTAACGCTACTTGCCAATAATCATAAAAAAATATTAACCTTAAACAAAATCCATAATTAAAAAAAAAAATATTTTTCAAACAAAGTAATTAAGTAAAACAGAAACAAAATTTGTAACATCCTATACAACTCGCGCCACAGCGTCGTATTACAAGCTAACTTCTCCTTCTAACAGTATGTTTTGTCTCTTTTAAATTCATTCAACCCATTCATATGCTTTGTGACCTTTACAAATGAACTTGTAAAGGTCACAAAGCATATGAATGGGCGTTACGCTTTTATAGGTAAGTGTGTTCTAAAATTCTTTGTTTTGGAAAATTTAATAACTCTGTAAATATTGATGTTTAAAGAATTTAAATGTTTAATCCAACTTTAAAAAGTTATCCCCTATATGTGTGTTCATTTATTGTCGCGATGGTAACGACACGCTGTATATGTAAATTTAGACATTTGATAAAATTGCACTTAAGTGTCTTTAAATGCCAAATAATCTTTTTATAAATTGTTAATATCTTCACCATTCTATTCATATGTTTTTTATTGTAACATATTTTTTTTGTAACATAATTTATATACTGTTTTTTTGTTTAATGTTTGTATTATTATAATGTTCGTATTCCACGGTTAGTTTTGTAATTATTTTTTTTTAATTTTTAAAGTGTTTTATAGTGCTAATCTCTGCACTTAAGATTGAACATTAAAACATGTAGAAAAAGTACGAAAAGTTTGTCGCCGCTGTGGGGTTTTTCTACATGTTTTAATTATTTTTTTTTTTGGTTTTGTCTCTATTGTCTGTTAAAAAGTAGCTTTTACCTATAATTAACGTACCACGTTTCATAACGTTTTTTCAAACCTTGTTTATTTAATCTGTTGCGGTGCGTCCTTTGTTGGTGGTAAATAAATAAATAAATAGTTCACACGAAAAGACGTTTTGGTGTGATCACCAAAAACAAAAATATGCGGAACGATTTGTGAGTCTGAACCATTCTCGAATCGACCTAAGGCACGTACAAAATCTCATCGGTCCAGCCGTTTAGGAGTTCAGTGACGTACACACGTCCAGTAGAATTATATATATAAAGATTACAGGTAGAACTATAGTCGGCTGTTGCTCAAACGGGTCCGTCCGGGTAAGTACCGCGACCTCACAGAAGACCGGTGTGAAGTAACGCAGAAGTGTAACACTTCCAGTGTTACACTTCTGCGTTTCGTCTGGTGAGTGAGGTAGCCGGGGCCCACTTTATTAAAAGGTGGCAACGCTATTACTCACCCGCTATTTGTTCTCTCCCAATACTCAAATTGTGTTTAGAAACACATTAAGAGAAATTTCAATGAGCATACTCGAGAATAAGTAGCGATTTATGTTTTTCAGTTTTGACTTTCAACAATTCTAGTGGAGTATTAACCAAAAACTAGTCTCAAACCCATTGCGATTAAGTCCAGAATAACAAAAAATCGACAATTATTTATTCGTTGCCAATTAAAATTTAAGGAAAAATGGGCGATTTATCGAGGATTTGGACCTGAGTCGTCAAGGGTTACGCGCTTGAGGCAGCAGTCACTGAGCCAAACGCCAGATCCCCACACTGACGACAATCGCAAAGTTTTTATCAACTTTACATAGAATAGTATTATTTAAATTAGTATGATTTAAATTGACAATTACTAAGCTACGACTAAAGTAAAAGTACTAAGCTAAAAAAAGGACCAATCTGAAACAAACTGCCAAACTGTTTTCCCTCAAGCTTTAAGAAGCTATATGCAAGGCCCGTGGATCCTAACTAAAAACTCGAAGGAATCGATTTATTTAAATTGCTAGAAAAAAATTTACGAGAAGTTTTTCGCTGCTGCGGGAATCGAACTCACGTGTTCCCGATTCGCGGCCAAACGCTGTAACCACTGAGCGAGACGGCCGTAAGACGCGGCTACGAAAATCTCAACGCATTTCTCATCTAAATTGTTTTTTCGCCTTTTAACTTTAAGTGCAGAGATTAGCGTTATGAGATTTTGTTTTATGTTGAGTGACCACCACCGCCCATGGACTTCTACAAAGCTCGAGGGCATGAAGATGCGTTGTCCACGTTCAAAATAACTGGGCCCCGGTTACCCTACTCACCTCCGCAACGCAAAAGTGTTATTTATTTATATATATTCTATTTTCTTATATTTCTTATTCTATTCTTCATGCACAAACATGTTACATACATGACGGACTTGATGCCATCAACATTATCTTCAGGCCAACCTTGGGGTGGGAAATTAAAAATATAATTTAAAAAACCTAAAAACCCGACTGCGTTTCTGTGTATTTTCTTTAATTGATTACCCAGTTTCACCCTCACAGTAAATATGAATCTAACCATACCTCTCAAGCTAAAATCCATCAAGCCGTTCAGGCTGCAGAGCGTGCCAAACAGTTATACATACATACATATTCTCGAAAAACATAACCCTCCTTCTGTCGCAGTCGGGTAGAAAACCCATCGTGAGAATTTTCACATGTTATACCCACTGACATAATACTACTAATCGGTCTGTGCTGTGGCGTCGAGTGCGTCATAGTTGGTTGTGCAAATTGGCAAGGTCGGGGAACGAACTGGGGCTACCTTGACCGTCATCCCGTAGAGGTCCACCACACCCCACACGTGCTGGTCCACGTTGTCGGTCGCTACGCCCTGGTCTATTCCGTTGATGTAGTAGTGGAGGTGGCCGCAGCTCTTCCTCATCATGCCGACGGTGTCGCCCTCCTGGAGGTGTTTTTAAATAGAAGGTGGCACCTGACGTCAAGTGATAGCCGCCGCCCGTTGGCATTCGCAACACCTATACGTTTGCGGATGCCTTGCCGCCTTTCAGCAAAGTGGGCCCCGGCTACCTCGCTCAACAGATGAAACGCAGAATTGGAACGCTTAATACTGCATACAATTCGAGGAAGGTGGAGATTAGTCAGTTTTTTGAATCAGGATACATACAATAGGTACTAGTATTATTATTATTATGTCAGAACACTCTTAATTGTAGAGCTAGGGCCACGCAGCAGCCTCGGCTGTTGCACGAATGGGCAGGCCCGTCCGTGTAAGTACCACGACCTCACAGAAGACCAGTGTAAAGTGGAAGTTATGACAAATACTTTCGCGTTTCGTCTGGTGGGTGAGGTAGCCGGAGCCCAATTTTCAACAAAAATTGTCAACGTATCTGGAACCCTCGGGTGTGGCAGATGTCCATGGGCGGCGGTATTCACTTAACATCAGGTGAGCCGTCTGCTTGCTTGGCAACTTTCACATAAAAAAAATATGATTATGTAAAAGCGAATTGAAAATAATGTACTTTGTTCTCCCAGACGCAGTATGGTCATTTGTCATGTTGTACATAAGAGAATATTTCGTAATTTTCAGTAATAGCAAAAATCTATTAGTATTATAAAGATAACGATAGAAGTAAAACTAACGTGCATTGCGCTGAAATAAATAGACATACAAAATATACTCTTGTGTGATAAAAAGTAACAAATTAATTATTTTTATATGAATAACACGGAACCGGCAGAAAACAGAGTTTCTTGCCGGTTCTTCTCTCGTAGGTCTACTTTAGTGAACCGGTGGTAGTTTTTGACGTTAGAAAGAAATTTTGACTTTGAATAAATGTATGAAGTATTAACTTATCGTTTTCATTTTAAAATATGTTTGACATTATAGTGTGAGTGAATTTAAATCTTTTAATATGCCAAGTGTCCCATGACGGCTATTTTATTAGCATGTCCGTCGATTATTTCGCACGAAAAAAGAAATTATAGAAGCGATGGCGGATGGAGTGTAACATCTAGAAGTAGGAAGAGCACGCACCCTCAGCTCGTCTAGGTTGAAGTTGCCGTACTCCATGCAGGTTCCGTGGCCGTTGAGCAGCACCTTGCTCCCGGACATCATCACGGTGCCGGAGTCCATGTTGGTCATGGTCGAGGGGAAGCGGATGGTGGCCGGGTTGTGAGTGGTGACGCCCACCTGGTGAGAAACACTGTGGTGGGACCGGCACAGGGGCGTATGGTGGTGGTATTAAAAATTGTGCGATCCGAAAAAATTATACCCCTTAAGATTAGTACAAGTGAAAAAAAAGGAATGTATTGCAGCAGCCCGTACATGTTCCACCGCTGTAAAGGCCTCCTCTGTACAGAGGCTATCAGACTGTATAGGAGATACAGTAAAAAGTCATAGAATTAATACTCTTTTATATATAGTATAAATGGCTCGTGAACTACACACGCTCCAAGATGTTTGGTGTGGTATTAACTAAAACTAGATAAGCTATCGGCCTTTGGTGGTAGGATGGAAGGGAAAATGGAAGGGAGAATGGAAGAGAGAACAGAAGGCAAAACGGAAGGGAGGATTAAAGGGAGGATGGAAGGGAGGATGAAAGGGAGGACGGAAGGGAGGATGAAAGGGAGGATGGAAGGGAGGATGGAAGGGAGGATGGAAGGGAGGATGGAAGAGAGGATGGAAGGGAGGAGAGATGGGAGAGGGCATCACCTCAATGCTGCCACTCCACTTGTCAACCAGCCGGTCGATGCGTATCTCGAAGATCTCATCATCGTAGAGCGGCCGATGGGTCATCACGACGCCGTTGTTGTAGTCGTCCAGTGGGCGGGCTCGCTCCGCAGACCTCGAGAAGACCACAAACCCGTAAATATACCGAATATCTTCGGCGTGAACGGACGTAGAAACGAACACGAACGGATCGTGAAAAAAACAAACTAAAAAACGTTAGTTAATGATAAGTCATAGATATAGCGGCTCGATAGACGTTGTTTCCGGTAGATGTCACTGGCGTTAAGTGTACATTCTACTAGAAGTATACACAGTACGCAATACATATAATACACACAAAAACTTATGTAATTTATTATATACGGACAAGAAAACACAAAGTCATGCTAGGCTCAATATTATGCTAGGCTGTGATGTTATTACAAGTAACTAATGCATGTGTTTGGTAACAACGATATTCGAACGTACAGAGAATATCCTCGAAGATGGAGCATACTAGATAGTAGTTTGTAAAACGGGACAAAAGATTAGAAACGGTATTTGAATAAGACATAGGATTTATTACAGAATTGATAAGCATTAAACCGTACTAACAGCCATATCTCTTAATTAAAACGTTAAAGAAAGAACTCCTACATAGACAGACTGCAGATGACACAGGTAAAGGGAGCTGTCTCACATATGGAGACAGGTGCGAAAGTGTGGAGCTGTAAGAAGTAAAAAATAAGGTGGGTGGACCATGGAAGGCCACTCTAACGAGTAAACGCTTTTTATTCGTTTATTTACTGGATAAATGAAGGAAACAAACTATTAAGTAATACTTCGTTTTATTGTGCACCATCTAAATCACTTTTTTTTTATCTAAATTTAATCACTATTTACTAAACTTAAGTTTTATTAAGCTCTTCCAAATGTCCTTGCAAGCAACACGGCTCCAAACAAGGCCAATATTATACATCAGTCGCTAAACTTAAAAATAGTGTATTAACATTAAATATATCCGCTTTTACTAAAACTGCTTAATAAGCTCTATCATTTAAGCGAAACATAAAATGCTCAATATATTTTTATCATCGATAAAAAACTCAACGAACATTAATTGAACACCATCGTATAACTAAGAATATAGTAATGGAAATTATTTTAAAATAGTAGTAATAAGTATTATATTGGCAACACATAACCTGCCAATGGGTTTTGTAAGTAGTGTGAAAAATGGAACGTCCTATGCAAAGAATTGTTAAGGTGCGTTCAAAACATGGTAATATGTTCACCCTTGAAGTAAAATAAGCGTAAAGAAATATCAAAAAATATTTTTTTCCCGACCTTCTTTTAACATTGTGATTAGTGTAATTACTATAAAATGAAATTAGCTAAATTTTAATATTTATTTCACTTCTATACACAATCAGGTCAAAAATGGGCATTGTTCTTTAAAAAAAAAAATTTCCAAAATGGCCTTCTTATGGGTCCGTTCTTTGTAAGGCCATTATGTTCCTAAGAACGCCAAACTAACAATTATAACTATGACTTTTTCATATTAATTATATCCTTTTTTCAGCCAAAACTACATTTTATTTGTGGACCGTAATGCGACACCCTTCTTCATCCATGTTATACAAGCGTTCTGGATGTCTGTTCTGTGTCTGGATGGATAATGTCTAGCTCTTTATAGAGTTTCTTGACTTCTTCAGAATGGTGTTTCACAATGGGCTTATTCATTTTTGGAGCTCTAGCTCTAGTTGGTGCGTCTTGGAATATTGAACTTTAACGCTGCAGCATTTGTATTAAGTTGATTATTTTGTACTGCTTCCATGGCACGTCTTAAACTGTCTTCATCCCATGTACTACCTCTTTTTCTAGGTTTTAAATCCGACATTTTTGATATCTGAAATCTTCGAATAAAATTGAATCATCTATTTAATTACCGACTTATTGTAATAATGTTTTTTTTTTGGTAAAAGTATAGTTATAGACAGACTATCTCAAGATTATCTTATTACTTTACCGTTTTTTACATGTAAATATTTTTATATTCGTTGCTTTTCATGTAAATTAGTTTAGTAATATAAAACATTGTTTTAACTGTAACAGTACGTATTTATAACTAAAAAGTAAGTGTTCATATGTTCATGGTTTGTAAATATTACCGTCCCATGTACCATAGCAAGGCCAACCGTCAAATTTTTGATTGGCCTTATAAGGAACCGCCGGCTTTCCTAGGAACACCACCAATATTTTAACTTAAATTGAGGCAAAACTATGTTTTTTTTTTACTTTAGTACCATAAGTACTCATTTTACTTTCAATATATTGTGAATAAAAGGAATATGAGATAATAATAGGTTATTGCCAGAAAGTTACGTTTTGCTGTGCGCGTGAATAACAATTGTAACGACGACGATAGCGGCGCGATCGAATCGCCGCCGTGTTTGGGGCCTTGAGTTTGATAGATCTTAGTGTGAAATAGGAGGAATACGTCTTTACATGTCAATAACTACGACTTTTTAATTGTTGACCTTCAAAGGAGCGTGGCCTTCCATGGTCCACCCATCTTAGTTCCAAATCTCTCCAGAGTGGCGCTGGAGTAGCAAAAGAGTATGGAATTAATTTAGCCTTTACTGACGAGTCAAAGTGAAAGCACCGAGTAGAAAAATTTAATATTCTTGGTATTGAGTGCATGGGGAGGACAATCTTAAATAGGGATAAATATAAGAGAAAGAAAACTACAGTTCTAAAATCCAGCAGAACAGAGCCATCGTAGCATGCGAGTATGGTCAACTATTTGAGTCAAGAATTATGGTGACTACTAACAATTAAAACTATCAAATCACCACTACTGACCAATACCCATCTGCTACCGTGGCGCCGCCAATTTTACGCCTTTCGATGAACAACCATGTCTGTATTTTTGTAAACAGATATTGCCTTTCATAATTGACGGTGCCCTTTTTAACTCTACCCTGCTATGACAGCGATTTGCTTTGCGATTCGGGTATTGGTAAAATATACTCAAAAGCGTCTACTTCCCGACGGTATTCCGTGAGACCGCGGCTCCAGACTTACCGGTCTTCTCTTACTGCAGATGCTAATTAATTTCTTCACGAGCGACGTGCGAAAGCCTATGTACCAGATAATGGTCTTCTGTTCCCACTTGTTGTTCGACAGCAAGCCAGATATTTGTCTCACTTACTTGTTGTTGTTCGACAGCTTGACCAGTATGCCGCATCGCGGGTGGAACCTCAGCCGATCTTGGGATACTGAAACGGTACAAGCAGGCTCCATCAGTCGCCAGGGTTCTCTTCGGCACCGAGGGTCGTCGGTTCAATTGCCACGCGGGACAAGTATTTGCGTACCTCGCAAATATGTTATACAGCGTGTCGTTACAACCGCGACAATAAATGAACACACATATAGAGGATAACTTTTTAAAATTGTATTAAGCGTTTAAATTCTTTAAACATCAATATTTATCGAGTTATCAAATTTTACAAGACAAACATTTTTAGAACAACATACCATAAGTATAAAACTGTAACGTAAAGTTCATTTGTAAATGTGACAAAGCATATGATTGGGTTGAATGAATTTAAAAGAGATAAAACAAAAACTGTTAGAATGCGACGTTGTGGCAACGAATGAGTCTCTGAATGTATGAATCAGTCAGTTGTAGTTGTATAGGATGTTACAAATTTTGATCTTTTTTATTTAATTAGTTTGTTTTAAAAATATATTTTTTAATTATGGATTTTTTTAACGTTTTATATTTTTTTATGATTATTGGCAAGTAGCGTTAGACGTGTGTTAGTTACGACACGCTGTATATCCACGTGAAATGTGCTTACAACACTTGTATTAGATTGTTTTTAACAAAAGTAATGAAATTTTTGCCAACAAAACAGATTTGAAATGTCACACTCATTACATATTGTAACACTGTGTATCACGGAAGTCGAGGGTCCATGGGAGCTAAACTGAACCCAGTTTAATAGTATTAATAGCGTCCTCATTTTTCTAAGTCGGTAAAAATTAGGTCGCGATCGTTTTACCTTACCTATGGAAATAAAGTATACATTGACGTTTTATTTTAATGCTTTGCTTACGTATCCTGGCTGAATTGCCGCCTGGACAAAGACTTTGTACACACAAATATACTCGTATGGTACCGATGTGTGCTTGTATCGATAGCTATGCTTTTCTGTTTTTGGGTTTTTATATGAAATATACAGCGTGTCTTTACAATCGCGACAATAAATTAACACACATATAGGGGATAACTTTTTAAAATTGTATAAAACATTTACATTCTTTAAACATCAATATTTACAGAGTTATTAAATTTTCCAAAACAAAAAATTTTTGAACACCCTTAGGTATAAAACTGTGACGTAAAGTTCATTTGTAAAGGTCACAAAGCATTTGAATGGGTTGAATGAGTTGTATAGGATGTTACAAATTTTGTTTCTTTTTTACTCATTTAGTTTGTTTGAAAAATATATTTTTTTAAATTATGGATTTTGTTTAACGTTAATATTTTTTTATGATTATTGGCAAGTAGCTTTAGGCGTGTGTTAATTTATTGTCGCGATGGCAACGACACGCTGCATAAGAGAATGTTGCAGATGATATAGTAATGGACACGTAGGAAGGGGGGGGGGGGGGGGGGTCATACCGAGAGCGCACGCAGCCTCCGAAGTCATGGGGATGTACTCTTCCCGGTAGTCTTTCGGGTAGGCGCTGTCCGGAAGACCAGCCACCTCCATTTCGCTGGACGTCAGCGTGTCATCGTTGTTTGGATCCTCCTCGATCTAGACGAAACATCAGACTCAGATGCACACAGGGGAAAATCCTTGATCAGTGTGGAAGACAAGGATAACGGGAACCACAGCAGGGACGTTCGAGCATAGTCACTCTAACAACATCAATCTAATTTCGACTTATTAAAATTAACAATTTCGTTGGTGCCAGCACCCGGGATCAAACTCAGATTGCTCGAGTGTATTGAATTAATAGCTAGCATCCGCAGAATTCGCTATCACTGCTCAAAGTCATATTGTATTGTAATATTTATTTTATATCTAAGGATACATTTTAAACTAGCTGTGCCCGCGACTTCGTCCGCGTGGAATATAAATAAAAAAAAAATCTAAAATAAAAGTAGCCTAAGTTATTCCTTATTTCATCAGCTATCTGCCAGTGAAAGTCCCGTTCTAATCGGTCTAGCCGTTTCGGAGATTAGCCGGAACAAATAGACACAAAAATTGTAAAAAATGTTATCTTGGTATATGTACCGTGCAAACAGACACTCCAATTTTATTTAAAAAAAAAAGTAAAGTAACAGCCTATACCACTGCTGGGCAAAGGCCTCCTCTGTACAGAGGGTATAGTCTACCACGCGGCCCCACTGCGGATTGGCGGACTTCACATAACTTCGAATGTTTTTTTTTGTTATTATTTCGAAAATATGCAGGTTTCCTCGCGATGTTTTCCTTCACCGCGGAGCACGTGATAAGTCAGCACTTAAAGTTAAAAACTTCATTGGTGCCGGCACCGGGGATCGAACTCAGGTTGCTCGAGTATATTGAACTAAAGGCGAGCGCCCGGACACTGAGCTATCATGGCTCATTTAATTTTATTTATCTGTATAGATTACTTTTGTTTTCATTTCCCCTCTGCTGCAGTTAACATTATACATAACTTTATCAATGGTAAACAGAGATTGAAAGCAGTGGCTCATGGTTTAAAAATAGACTTGTATTTTGTTTACAGTTCCGATGAAGCAAAAGTGCATGTACATTTGAGCCTACTAAAACATTCAGAATGCAATCTCGTGTGAATGATGGATCATTGCTTTCAATAGGCAATGCAAAAAGCACAAGCTATTGTCCAAATTGTTGGTCCTAATATGCATATATTATTGTTTACAGTAGTGACTCCAATTTCAATATTTTATTATGAATAATTTAGTCAATTAATATAAACATGATTCTTTTTTATTTATAGAAATGCATAGGACATGTTTTAGTATTTATTTTGTGATATTCCTTTGCCAGATATCTTCTTCATACTCTTAGTGAAAGAGTAGCTTTCTATTGATTTAAACAATACATATCCCATGAAAAATATTAATATAAAGTAGAGTAACAGGTTATACACAGTGTATTAGGGAAAAGTCTACCACTCGATTGCACCATGGATTTGAGGAAGACTTCACATATCTTCTACTTTTATTTAGAATTTCACTAATATACAAATTTCATCACAATGTTTTCCTTTATTGCTAAGCACATAGTGAGTGAGCACATAATATTGCAATTAACATTTTCATTGGTGGCAGAATTTGAAGTCCTGTTACTCAAGTATATTGAACTATAGGCGAGGCTATATAACTCATAGAGTAAGCTTTCGAATATAAGGTTCGCATTATGTATAGCTAATAGTTTAAAATGTTTTTTAATTATCTATTTTATATCAAATAGAATAGAAAGGATAAGAATAGCTTTGAGTAAGAGATACAACTAACCTGATCCAAGCTGGATTCCATTATAGGTCTCATTCCGCTTGTAGATTGGTGCATTATGGAAACTTGAACGCACTGTCCATACAAATCTATGACTGCAAACAGACGCGGTGGCATATCCAGCGCCGCTACTCCAAGGCAACGCCCGTTAATGAAGAACATTAATTCCGCCTGGCATAGATGACAGTACTATTAGTATTAGTATCTCAGTTTATGTGACTTATGTAAATATCACACACACATATACAATTAGTCAGCGCAAAATTTGGACATACCTTGCTGGTTCTCATAACTCCCACACAGTCTCCTTCATGCAGCGTATCTAGCTCAGGTCCATATGAGCTTACAAATGTGTTGCCATCTCTTACAACAGAACTGCCTGACATTATCTGTGAGATATTATTATTAAAATTTAGTAAACAAAATTCATGGAACTCTAGCTAGGGAATGCCACTAGTTAATTATACTTAATTTTGGATAGGCAAAAGAACTGGGCTGAAAGCAGAATATTTCAATTTACTGTTAAATATTTGAATGCTATCCTGGAATACAATATCAGTTAATAATCGAAAATTACTGAAAAGAGGGAAATACACAAAAATATAGAAATCATTGTTGCACATTAGCAATTTCAAACTTTCCGAGTTATCAAAGATAAGTTCTAATTTTAAGGTTTACACACAAAGAATGAACAGATTTTAACTATTCACTTTAGCAAGTAATAAAATATTAATATTGACACAAAAAAATAATTAAATGTTTACCCATGCTGTGTTTCTCAGTTTAGTTGCCGTAGCTGGTAGTTCCATGTACTCAGGGTCAAGGGTTGTAACACCAATTTCAAGGCTTCCATTCCAAACATTTACCTAAACAAAATAATGGTTTTTATTTGGTTAGATGAAAGTTTAAAGAATATATCAGAAAGTTTAAAGAATTAGAATACTAAACAAAGATAATGTTTTAATCAAATGTTGATATAGCTGAATATGTGATTAAAAAATTTTAACTTGAAGCTTTGTCTGATGTTGCATTACAGCTACCTAGACTTGATGATGATTCATGATCTGTGAGGTTTCATACCTAAATTGCTATCAAATCTTTACCCACTATAAAAGAAAGTCACTCCCAATGTTTGTATAGTTATTTCTTCTTAAACTATGCAATGGATTTTAAGGTTGCTTTCAGCAATAGATAGGGATTCAAGTAGGTTTATAAATAGTATACATGTATTCAAGTAGGTTTATAAATAGTATACATGTATTCAAGTAGGTTTATAAATAGTATACATGTATACCTACTTGAATCCCTATCTATTGCTGAAAGCAACCTTAAAATCCATTGCATAGTTTAAGAAGAAATAACTATACAAACATATAATAATAAAGCAAAGCCGAGAAATACAATTTCAACATTGCAACAATACGAAGCTGGGGCAGATCACAAGGTTTTATATAATTCATAACTCATTAAAGGAGACATTGACCAAGTGTTAGTACCCAATTGGAATATTAAAAAAAGAGACATTATATCACCGTATTTTTTTTATAAATCAAACTAAAGGTGGACAATGTAATATAATTTTCTTTGCACTAACTATATTTAATACATTCTAAAATGAATTTTGTATGAATATTTCGATTTTAAATTATAGCGATAAATTCATAACATTCTAATACAAATATTGTAAGCACTGTGTTGTTATAGTAAATGAACAATTGCATATTTTAGCAATAAAAAGGAGTAAGTAATATTATTTAATTTTGCAATACATTTCTATATAGTATTAGCTATAATATCTATTTACCTTTCTGTCAATACAGACTTCGAACATGATATCGTCTATCAACGGCTCTTCACTCAGAATGAGGCCGTGGTTGAACTCTACGAAGTTCCGAACCGCCGTTAGGTTGCCATGTAGGAGCGTGACTCTGTCTCCACATCTTCGGTGGAACCGCATCTTGAATGCGGCACCAACCTGTCACTGCAGAATAAACTTATATTTTCTGTTTACATAACATAATAATACCACGCTTCCGATCGGTACTCTTTAAACTATGAGCACCATCACGGCGTTAATTGCATTTTAAAAAGATCAATAAAATCATTTTGCACGCATTGTATCAATATCGAAATTCATTCGAAAATTAAAAGAGAGATAATTATATGGATTAGAATATTATTATACACTGCTTCATGGTTTTAACATTCGTATTTCAAAAAATACAAAATTATGTTTTTTGTTAGTATTACTCGGTATGATATTGACTGATGCTTCAAAACACTTGACAATGACAACTCTGCTAACTTTTTATGTCAGATGATTGTTCAGCTTCTCAGTCTTTCTGCTCCTTTTAAATATATAATTTAAAGAGTTTAAATAATTTAATATAAACTAATTACTAATGCAAATATATTTTTTAGAAATATTTAAAAATATAAAAGCACAAGATCAATAATTTTACGTTATTGATTATAGCTCAGATGTAAGAAAAAACATACATAATAAGATTTAATACGTTTAAATAATTTAAAAAGGTAACTAAATTATAGTCTAAGATCCCGTGGCCACCAGATTTTCGTTATTTTATAAAAGATGAGAGTTTCTCAGCGCATTCCCTTAGCACAGGTAAGTACAGGTAAGCCACTGTATGAAATCTAGGATATGGTAGCTTTGGCAGGTTACAAGGGTATATTTATACTCGCTAAAATTGAATTTTCTTGGTAACCGCGTGTGTAAACAAATTTTACGAATTTCGCTATTCGATTTCCGTAAAAATAATACCTAAATTCCGTAAAAATAAATAATACCCATCACACTGTAAAAAAGTCTTTGACCGTGAAAAACATACATGTAGTAGCAGTATTTGAGAACATCATTCCTTTTATTTCGTATTGGGGTAGGGCGGAAACACCGAATATCCTGTGACTGGGGTAGAATAGGGTTAAGTTACGTTCTTACCCACTAAAATCCCCTAGGTAGACATCATGTGATCATTGGGCGGGGCTTCTGGGCCCACTACGAAACGCACCAGTGCGCCTCCGTACTGTGCTAAAAGATTGCTCGCTACGAAGAAGAATAAACCTTCCCCAATTACCTCACTGGTTTCCAGGCAACACGAGACCACCTCGTATTACCCGCAATCTGTCAGGTTCACATCATGGATTCAATTGGACAATGGACCTGGCCCTACCTTGATCATCATCATCTCATCTATGAACTCAGTGTCCACCTTTTACCGAAAGGCAAGAGATATCTTATTGTTGCACGAACGTAAAGGCCCATCCAGGGAGGTACCATGGGCTCACAGACAGTTTTACTCGCTTGATAATTTGTGACTTTAAAAAAATCCTTAGCCCTCTTCTGAGAGCCAAATGCCAAAGCCTTTATGTTGTTTATCCCAGAGACACCACACTTATAATTTTCGTTGTACCCTACGAATACTTGCCTGTAAAAAAAACCGATCAAGTGCGAGTCAAAATCGTACGCCGAAAGTTCCGTTCCGTTCAATTGGTAAATAATCACCACCGTTTTTCTCAGGAACGAGTGAGGTTGATATTTATACCAGATATTGAGGTCCCTATTAGTTATAAAAATATCTATGGATAAATATAAGGATATGGCAACATTTAGATTTTAGCGAAAACTTGTAAGTACCAAAACTTTACTTGATTTTTAACTTTTAGATTTTTCGAAGTTTTTCCTTTATTTTTGCTGTAAAATCTTGCTTTTTGCCAAATCTCGTGATTCTAGGTTAATCATAAGAATCCTATAGGTTTTGGGTCGAAAAGATAAGACAGAACAGATCACCTGGATTGAGTAAGTGTTCAATAGATGGCGCTATGTTAAAAATCCAAACGTGTGGATCCAGTCTATTGATTTTTACTCAAATGAACCTGTTTGAGTAAGTCTGGATAGTTTGGAAATACTATTGGATGCGGTAGGTGGCGCTGCAAACAGGATCTAGGTGTTTTAAAGATTTTTTTTCATTTGGAAATACTATTGAAACGGGTTATAACAAATTTGGCAGAGACGAAGTTGCGCGGGACTTCTACTATTCTATAATTGATGTAATTTCATTTAATTTCTACATATTTTGTCAAAAGATGGCGGTGCAAGCAAGATTCAAAAGAAATTAAGCAAGACTTGTTACATAAAGTAATAATATTTGATACAGATTGATATTAATTCTAATATATTCGCATAGACGATAAACTTTTTGGTACATGTTATTATAATATTTAGCATTTAGGACTGTTTTGTTTTCTTTTTTTTTTGTAACGAAATCATTGTATTCATGTACCAAATAAATATTTTGCTTTCTTTCTTATTGGATAGCTGCTATTTTTCACAAAACAATCAGCCTGAACGATTGTGAATTGGATGAGACTCCGCATGTTTTCGCATTAGATTCCGCTAATTTCCGTTTCGCGGTCGCTGCGTAGCGTGGCTGCATTTCCGTTTCAATACACCGCCAGCGCACCAGTAATTGAATGTCGCCAGGGGAGTTAGAACTTAGATTAATACAGATTTGGCGACCCGATTGGCGTGGGGAGTACGGTAGTGGGGAGTACGGTAGTACCTGCCTTTTACGCCAGAGGGTGTGGGTTCGATCCCCACTATTGGAAAAAATATTGTGTGTTGACACATAGTGTTCTTCCAGGGTAAAAAAAAAAGTAACAGCCTATACATGTCCCACTGCTGGGCAAAGGCCTCCTCTATATAGAGGGTATCAGGGCATAGTCCACCACGCGGCCCCACTGCGGATTGGCGGACTTCACATATTTTCGAAATATATTTTTTTTGTTATTATTTCGAAAATATGCAGGTTTCTTCACGATGTTTTCCTTCACCGCGGAGCACGTGATAAGTCAGCACTTAAAGTTAAAAACTTCATTGGTGCCGGCACCGGGGATCGAACTGAGGTTGCTCGAGTATATTGAATTAAAGGCGAGCGCCCGGACACTGAGCTATCACGGCTCTTCCAGGGTGTGGGTGTTAAATTATAATTCTGTATAATATGTATTTATTTACGAAAGAAATTAAGTTTATGTATGTTTATTAGTTTTCTAGTACCCATTACACAAGCGTCAAGCCTAAGTTTGGTACTAGAGAACGTTGTGTAAAAATGTGTCCGAAAATTTCAGACACATTTTTACAGAAACACTGTGTGTTTGAGGTCGGACTGGTCTGGAGCTTGTTCTGGCCTCGTCCGACGAACTCGCCTCATACTCTTCGTCGACGTATTACCTAGAAATAATATGACGGCCAGCGTACAATCTTTCGACAATATATTTAATGAACCATGAGTTTTCCCTGAAGCGGAATTTCCAGCTACAGATCGCACTCAAAAAGTTTTTCTCACAAAACCTGTTGCTGAATCGAACAATATATCAAATAGTGATGTTGGTGAAACGAATGCGACATTGAATAATCTTTATTTTTTGTATTTAATTAATCAATCAAAAATATCTTTATTCAAATAGACGCTTGCGCGTTCTTATGAATCGTGAAATTTTTCATAAAAAATTATACATGTAGGTTCGTAAGGTACCACCGGTTCGGAAAGCAGTTTCTATTGAGAAGAGACCGGCAAGAAACTCAACATTTGCTCTTTTTCAAAAATATCAGTTTACAATATGCCTAAGTTTGCCTAAGTTTTTATGTTTTATTGCATTTATTTTAATCATAAATTAATTTAATCACATATTTTAGTCGTGTGCAATCTCTGGTTATATGTTGTCCTGTAAGTAAATTTTGTGTCCAATGACTACATTTTTGCTGCTTTTATTTTAAAGTGTTGTACATATACTTATAGAACAATATATTTCTTAAAATGCGTAAACAAAGGAGTTAATGCAAGTACTATTTAAACATTAACTTATAAAAAATCTAAGTATTACATTTTTATATTTGCAAAGTCATATTCTTAAATGTCTAACAAGTGGTAGATACAATTATTTGGACGTCTATAGCTGATAGGACATTTAATTGAATCATAAAGAACAATGGTCCTAATAAAAGGCAATGATTTCAAGATGCTGTGGGAACGCAGTGAATCGTTATTTACTCGAATACTAGAGATTAAATAAAACTGTGTTTTGGTTACTGTATGTACTTTTTACTTTTCATTTAATTTTAATCTTTAACTGCGGACATTTTTTAACAGCAGTATCCAATATCCGTTACTCAATAAGTTACATCCATTATTTTTCTTTAGTTATTTACTAAAATACAATGATGTATGTTACAATAAATACATATCAATGTAACCTACCTATTAATTAAATGTTTAATTAACTGCATTGGACAGGCGTTATATTAAAACCGAAGTGTCAGAATACTTTGCGTAGTAATGCATATTTAGTACCATCTAATAAACTATTGGCATAACAAGTGCGTAGCAAAATACGCACACATGTGCGGTAATTTTCTTGAGTCTAATATTGAACTGAAATTCATAGGATCTAGTAGTTTGAACACTAACCACCAAGCAAACGGTAGTCTGTTAAAAGAATTTTCACTATAAAACAATATGCAAAATATTCTTGGACGCAAAAGTCTTTCGCAAAAAAAAAATCCGTCTTATGACTTTAAAAAGTGGTTACCCATAACGCAATCGGACGGACACGGCGCAAGCTAAAGCTATACGGAATCAATGCCAGATTACCTGTCTGTATGAAAGTAGCTGAGGTATTACCTTAGTAGCGGCCCTGCTTTATTACGTGTCAAGATGAAAGTTAAAAGACTTACCGGATAAACGTCCCCTTGGGTACAGACGACGAGAGCAAAGTATCTCGCTCAAAGAGATTACCGATTAGATGTCTATGACGATAAGACCTTCTATGAAAAAGTTAATTCGCTGACCCATAGACTAATTAAAAAATATCTCAGAGATGGTTTTTAAATTAAAACGACTCAAACATAAAATTGAGTGTATTTTAATCCTATCCAATAAA